AACGGTCCAATCTGGCATGCCAGATGTCACATAAGGACAACACATTGGCAGCGTTGGTGAGAGCCATGAAGATTTTGAGCTCATGTTCAGTGGGCGTGCACAAAATAGAGGGACACTCAGTGCAATTAAAATACCTCCGAGTTGCTGATAGCTTGCAGGGCATCTTTGTCATTTTGGGGAATCAGACAATTATACAAGTGGTAGATGTTTTTCAGCGCTTTTCATTAAGTTTGGTATAAAGGATATGCCCATGGAATATTGTATTGGAATCGACAATGTTAGCACTACGTGTTTTTTTTTTAGAGTGGTGACAGCTGCATTCTGCCGTCACTTAACTGGACATTTGTTATGTTCTTTATTGAATGGGAAATCAATATTTTAATATCGAAAATCGGGGTGGGTGGGTGGGTGGTGGGTATGTCAAGCAATTTCGAGAAAAAAAAAGAAATTTAAAAACATCGAAAATGTTGAATGGCCCCTAAGGTGGTAGGTTTCTGGAAGAAATACAATGTCGGGGTTTTACATAATTTTTAACATAAACTTGAAAAGAGGCGCTTCCGGTTACAGTGGAGCACCCTCCGGTATTTAATGTGGATGGGGTGGATTTCGCAGTGGTTTCAGTTGTTTGACAAGTCCCGGGACGTCAAAGGTGAATTTTCGGATGATCTGGGTCTTTTTTTTTTGGCTTTGACCTGGGCAAGAAAGTTTAATCACCTGTTTGTGTGAGAGGGGACCGTTAGTGGTGAAAATGGACTCGGGGAAGAAATCATCGTCGGTCTGTCTGTCTTCCCACAGCAAGGAGTCGGTGGCGGTGTTTGTTTCTGCTGCGATCGAGGCTTAGGAGGAGGGAACGGGTGTTTGGGTGTCGAGGGCTTGGGAAGGGGAGGGAGAGCCATCCGGTTCGAGGATTAAGTGTTATTTGGGTGTTTGTTTGGTGAAATTGTGGGCCAGTTTCACAAGTTTGGGAGGTGGAGGTGATGACGATTTGCTTTGGGTTGGTATTCCTTTGGCGATTATGTCAGAGAAGAGTCGTGACGGCCGAGGGGTGATCCCCAAACGGAAAGGTTCCCTGTATGTGGGTTTGGATGGGTAGTTGACTTGGAGGGATTAGTGGAGGGTTTTCAGAAGAGGTTTGGAGCGTGATTTGGGTGTTTCAGGGATAGATGTAGGTCCAGTTTCCTTACAGTTGGCTGGGTTGTCTTAGTAGGCAGTTTACCAGGGGGCGGGGCCGGGGCAGCGGATCGACACAGCTTTCACGGAGGCGGTTGACCCGATCACGACAGTGGACGCGGGTGTAGGACCGGCGGCCCCAGCAGAGGAAGCTGGCTCGGGTGGGACTGAGGGTTTTGTTTTTTTGGGTTGATATTTGGCGGTTATTGTGGACAAAGGTTACTGTTGAAGTCGATGCCCTAGCTGTTGGACGGCGCACAACGGCCTCTTTCGAACTCAAATAAATGGCGACGCGACCATTGGAAGTACGCAAAGCCGAGAGGACATTCTTTGCAGGTTGTTGTTTTGTGTAATGATCTATGGGCCTTATTCACATGTCGGCCATCTTTGCCGAGTTCCCTGAATGTTTTTCATTAATTGTTAACTGTTTGATGTGATGGCACAAGACTATTTATGCAGGCACAATGCAGCCTTATTTTACTGGCATTTTTTTAACATATTTATTTATTTATTTATTCCATTTCTTTACTCAGGGTATGCCCAAACAGTTTAAAACTGGTTTCCATTGGGCCCTGCATACAATAAATAATGACTACAAACATGTATAATTATACAATACATTACAAATACAATAAAATTCGATACAGTAAGAAACATCATTATTTGAATGATGCATAGGTGTTAAAGGGAATATACAACATTTGCAAACATCGAAAAATAAAACTACCAAGTTTTTGCGAAATACCTTAATAGGATGTTGGTAAATGACAGTCTAAAGCATCCTGTAAAATTATGGCACCTGGTATACTGTCATTTTCAAGAAAAGTGGTATTTTGTATCAATTTCCAACGCTGATCGGCCGATCAGCGTTGGAAACAACTGGCTTTTTTTTCAAATACTGGCCCCAATTGACCATTGCACTTGTTTGCAATCGATTACAAACCTATGAACGGGTACGAGCCAGCTAGACTGGTTCCGTGACCTTACAATTCCCCAATGTATGTAAACTGCTCTGTTTCTTCTTATATGGAGTCAGGGAACCAGACTACAGGAAAATGATCGTTTTTCTTGGTTTTTATAGCATTTTCGAACCCAAAACCTCCAAAAAGTCAGTGTAACTATATTTGCTTTATATTTCCAACCCCTCAATTCCATCCATTTCTGAAAATTACAGCAAAAGCAAATGATGTATATTCCCTTTAAGCTAATATTATACATACAATATATTTTAAAACTATTATGCTTTACTATAAAGTTGATTCAGTGAACACGAAAAATGTGGATCTTTCTTGTAACATCAAGAAAAAAACTACACTTGTACTGCTGTAACTATATTCGCTGATTACGGGAGGGGCGAAAACCCCGCGAAAACCCTTAGGGAGAAAACACGGGGAAATTCCCATCCGGCTCCTTATTATCTTCTTATTATTATGGCAACCAAGTTTGTTAACTCCGTAGATCAGCACATATCTAGATTTGTATAATTAGAGAAGACAGTGACAAATACACACATAATTATTTGCAGAAATATTATTACTGACTGAACGTTTTACGTAGTTCAGATTTGAATGAGGCTAATGAAGTCATGGTTGTCAACTGATAATTGCGACTCAAAAAACATGGACAGTGTTTATTTGATTTACAGATCTAATGTGTAGGATATATAGGCCCATGGGTGTTGCTAGGACTTTTTCTAGAGGGGGAAAAGCACACCCCCCCCCCCCCCAAAAAAAAAAAAAAAAAAAATCCCTGCACTTTTCCAGCATATTCTCGATTTATCATTTTTCAAGGGTGGGCAGGGACATTTGGCTCCCAACCCATTAGTGATTATGGCTTTGCACCTCTTTTTCTTTCTTCCCCCCTTTTTTCCTCCATTTTTTTCAGCTTTTCCGGGCGGGGGGGGGGGGGGGGGCGCTTTGAGCCCCCCTGTCGCGACGCATATGGATAGGCCTCCTGCACATCATGGGGAACCTGTCCATACAATTTTGACCGCAAGCCCATTTTAAAGAATAAGTTACGACAGGATCAAGGTACCAACGTTTTTCGACAACATGCTAGTAATGCCGGACAATGCCGGCAGAACTTTTTTGGGTCGGGGGTATTTTTGTTCCCGAATAACCGAAACCTCCGCCCAAATTTCAATATGAAAAGCTGGAAGGGTTCCAATGTATTGGGTTTTTTAGGTTGAGTTTGTGGGTGGTGTACTCAGTGTAAATGTTCAAGGATAAAACTCGTTTGGCCCGACCCACAAAGAGTGCCGATAACGTCATAACAGCGATTATAATTAACAGCGATATCCGACTGGTCCGATTAGAAATACAGAGGACACAATTAGCTCGCGTGTGATTGTGCACAACGAGAATTTGTACGTGAGTTTAGCATGAAAAGTGCCCCCCCCCCACAACTTTTATTGAAAGAAGGGACTATTTGACTTAAAAAAGCGGTGAAATTGTGTAAAAATAGCCGAGGATCTACTCCCTGGTTTTAGGGCTTTCATCTGAGGGCAAAATTAATAAAATTACGGTCCTATGGGTCCTATATTTGCCTGAGAAAGTGTAGGGATGCCATGTGGCTGCAAGCAGGTTTGGTTCTTGGTCGGATATTACGAACACAAGGTTGTCTAGGCATTTCTATACAAACCCCTACACCGGGGGTTCGTGAACAAAATATCAGACGGTAATTTATTACTCCCCCGATCACGCTCAATTCAATTCGGCAGCGACCGCAAGCTTGCCATTTTAAAGAATAAGTTAAGACAGGATCAGTTAGGTACCAATTTACGACAACGTGCTAGTAATGTTGGTACTACATGTACATATATATGACCCCGAAAGGCTCCCTCCACTGGATCTCTCAGACTATATTTTTATAAAGTGCCCTTCGGGGTCGCGAACAATTTTTGATCGGGACAGACTTTCTTGACTGACGATGTTTACCGACTTTTACGACGTTATGGGCTAGCTACAATTAATATCCATGGAAACGTATATGGGCCTTACGAGTCTTGATGCACGCCAGTCAGGGAAAAAGTGGCTCACGGCAAAGACCTTTGGAGAAACTTATAAGGTCTGAAAGACGAGACCTGGGAAGAGATCTTTAAGTGATGCACCTCCGATCCCGTTTCCAACTCAAAAAAATGAGTTGTGTTATGAATTGCGCTCTATATATGACAGATTGCCAACTAAATGTTACATTCCAACAAAAATATTACATACCGAAATAAAAATGGCATGGGAGAGGGGCATAATAATTATAACTGGTGTTCTAAGAAATTAGAGGAGCTTATATAAAATAGGAAGTGCACGTACGTTTTGTTAGTTTGATTGAGGACCAAATTACATTGACAAAACATTTAGTGATATTTGCATCGATCACTAAACTGAAAATGTTATGATTGTTTAGTATAGGATTTTCTCAACGTGACAATTCCAACTTTTCTATGTCACTGTTTATTAAATATCTGTTAAAAATTGTCGCTATATTAATTGTCAGCTCATACTTCGGTAAACGCCGATTTGTATTTCGATATATTTCATATTAGTATAATGTACAAATAAAGCGTACAGTATGTTGAAAAGGTTCATTTCCGTTTGAATTTTGATTACTTGAATTTGGATTACGATTATAAAACGACATGTATATATTCTGATTCTCAGACATACTTTATAGACATTGACAGGCATCTGCAACTTTAAACTGAAAAATAATTCTGGAGGTTAAAGTTGTCTGTTGCCTTCATACAACCCATAAAACACACCTTGAAATGTCAGTTATTTACGAGAGGTCACTAAAGACAAGGGCGGTGTTATTTCACTGGCTGTAGTGGCTTTTAGTACCCCCTTTGGATCCATAGATGGGTACACAGTAGTATTTCCTTAGTCCGTGCATGGTCCATGTAGCCATTCGCGCTGTCTGGGATCATTTTCTAGTACTATACCTCGCAAGGTAGTAGTGTGATACCATTCCATCAGCATGGTTACGGTTGTGGAAACGAAACACCCGGTGGTCCTTCTGGCTGTGGTCTTCATATTGGTGGGTGTGATAGTCGGCGTAAAGGGAGGAATTTTACCTGAAGTTGAAAAGAGGTAAGACATCTTGTAAAAATTAAAAAAAAGAAAAACCTTATTCTTAAAGTTGTACGATGTATCGAAGCAGGTACCTGTGGGTCAGTGGCAAGGGCAACATTTGATTTTTTTTTTCTTAAATCATGTTGTAAATAGGTATCATTATCAGTTTTATTTTGCGGTTCATGTCGTTTTCTAACAGGGAAGCAGATGACGTCAAGCAGCCGTGGGAGTCGACGCGGCTACCTGAGACACTGCGACCCATCTCCTATGATCTCAAAGTCAGAACCGATCTGACTAACTCAATCTTCACCGGTTCCGTCAGTGTCTTGGTAGAATGCTTGCAAGACACTAACGTCATACTGATTCACAGTAAGGAACTAGTCATCGGTGAAGGGAAGACAACCTTGACACGGCAAGGCAGCGGGACCAAAGCTCCTGAGTTGGCTAAAGATCCGTGGCTGTATACAGATAACCAGTTTGCTGTGATCGAACTGAATGGCGAGCTGGATAAAGGAGCACAATATCGGCTGTACATGGAGTTTCAAGGACCGTTGAAGAATGACTTACTGGGCTACTACAAGATGTCCTACAAGACTGCCTCTGGAGAGGAAAAGTAAAAACTAGCCTTTAATCTGTTCTTATATTATTTTACCTGAAGAATCATCTGATCGATTAGTCTCTTTGTACATGGAACATAACATGACCTGTCTTTAAATAATTCTTCAAAACTGTTATTATTCTCATGTTCCCTTCATAATTTTAATCTGATACATCTTATTTTTTAAATCATTCAAAACAGGTATCTGACGAGTACCTTCTTTGATCCGGTGGACGCCCGTAAGGCTTTCCCATGTTTTGATGAGCCTGATCTCAAAGCTACCTTCACTATCAACCTTGAGCATGAGCCTGAGTACCACGCCCTCTCCAACATGCCCAAAAGACGTCCAGATGAACAACTTGAAGTTGGATGGATTAGAGCGACTTTCGAAGAGACCGTTGTCATGCCAACGTATCTCGTTTGCTATGTCATCAGTGAGTTCAAGGCAAAGTTCAAAAACACGACTAATGGCGTCAAAGTAAGTTATTGCGGTATGACATTAATTTTAACAAAAAATCATCAACTAAAAATCCAATAATGCAAAGCTAATTTTTTTTCTATCAGCTGAAATTTATTTTGCATTGTTTAAAGAGCCATGGGTGTTTTTTTATGCAGTCCTTGTGTAAATGCTCATTTGTGTCCCATTTATAACCTAATTTCGATTTTCCGACATTTTAACATTTTTAAGGGCTTTTTGGTGCCCTTTTGGTTTTTATGCTAGTACAAATTTCCATACTCATGAGCAAAAGTGTGATGTCATTTCAGGCAGAAAGCTCAATGTTACAGCTATTTCAGCACAAAACTTTGCCACAATGCCAGAATGTTGGATATTTTGCTGGCTTAAATTTTCTCTTCTGTGTTAATTTGTCGTTGTTTCAGTACATGACATTAGGCCGATGAGCAAAGTTTCCTCAAAAAATGTTTTTATTGAGCATATGCTGGATTCACAATTTGAACAGAAATCCCCTCATGCATGCAACTGAACAGTGTCTTCCTATAATGACATCACAGCGACAGCGCCCTCATTTGTTTGGAAAAGCATTAGATTTAAAAAAAAAAATTTTAAAAGAAGTACATTTTTTCCCAGTAAGATTAACGAAAAAAAGGGATGTGAAGCTGCTTTCAGACATTTTAAGAGGAGTAGAAAGTTGCACAAAATATGTTTTCAAGTAAAATTCATGTCATGAGCCCTTTAATAAATTCAAGTCAGGGGTCGCAAGAGTCGATTGCCCCCCCCCCCAACACACACACACACCCGCACCCATTCACCATCAAAATGAGTCATCTGCGTGTAAACAATTTGTGTTTTTAATCTATTTTGGGGTTTAGTTCGGCATATGGGCCCGGGAAGATTTCATCGATCAAGTGGACTATGCGCTCGATAAAGGGGCGGCCATGTTGGATTACTTTGATGCCTTGTTTGGAGATGAGAATAAATATCCTCTGCCTAAAATGGGTGAGTCAGGACATTTATTAAGGACACAAAAGAAGAACATTGACATTAAATAAAACAAAAGTAATCAAACTTAACACGAGAACATTGAAACAGGACATTAATTTAGGGTTACTTATTGAATAGTGAATGTTATTATCGACTTACATGTACTACACAGCAAACTGAATCAAACATGCACAGTTTCAAGTTTGCACGAGATACGCCCCGCTATCTTTGAAACGGAAGGCCATACTTTAATGGACTTGAGAGTAGTTAAATGGAAAGAGCGCCCTCAATATCCCCAAAAGTGACTTAATCAATTTATTAATGGTTAATAAATAAAACAAAAAACAACAATAATAAAAGGTTACATCCTTTCGCCAGCACAGCGCCAGTCTGGTTCCCTGACCTGACAATTTCGCCCGACGCCCAGACGTCTAAATTGTAGGTCAGGCAGCCTCCGTGGCTAAAAATAAACATGACGACATTAATTCATGGCCCCTTTTCAAAGCTCGGTTTCGTTTCCGAATTCGTTTTATCACTTATGAGGTTTTTAATGCTCCGTTCATATTGTTTAAATAAATCACTTATCATACAGTTATGATAATACAGTTGGATATTTCTGTAAGAATACATTGACTAATTACGCGTGTACTTGGAAACTTCAAAGTTAGGCAACCAGATTGCACTGTTAGCAGGCGAAGCCGATTGGAGACAACGCCGAGTTTTGGAAAATCCCGGTAATGGTCGTCACATTTTAAATAGTACATGACGTAGCAAAGCTCGCCCCTCGTACGATCCGGCCGCGTGCATATATACTTGATGCACAAAATAGGTCATTGAATTTAAAGTTTTCTAAATGCAAGCAATGAATATTATTTATCAACTCGGTTTTTTTTTAAATTTTGTACTAAGCTAGTCAGTAAATAAAACCTATATATTTTATACTCAGAAATACCCGAGCGCTCTCCAAGCTTGTCTACGAAATTAATTCGGCAAACTTCGGACATTCTCGGGAAAAAAAGGCATTCCTCCCGTTTTGGTCACGTGCCGAATATATATTTTGTATAGATACTAGCGGCTATCCCAAGATTCATCAGAAATAGACAGAATCGTTTGGTCTGGGAACCAAACTAGCACAGGACCGTCTAAAGGCCTAGAACGCCCTCAAATTCGTGATAGTAAAAAATCCGCAGTAAATGTAGGGCTCTTTCAGTGTTGATGTAAATCGTTTACACTCTAACGAAGCTTGGCGGTCTTAGGACTCTACAGTTATTGGGATAAACAACTTTAACAGAACAAAATAAAGAGAGAATACGAAAACGAAATATACCGTGGCTCTCTGATATTTTAACAATCAACTTTCAATAACAAGTATACATACAAATTACTCACGCTTTCATCCACGTTCGGTTCATAAAATAGCCTGGTGTTAGTTTGGAAGTACGTGCTGTCTGACTAAAAATCGCGCGCTGTGTGCGCGGCGCGCTCAAAATCAACACATGTATAAAATTTGCTCAATGCATTTGCTCCAGAAAATAAATATGCCGCGCTGTCTGACTGTAACTACGTGCAGCGCCCCCAGTTGTCCTAGTATTACATTATCACATCCTTTAAAAAAGTCCTCTCCTTTATTTAACTCGAGTTAAGGAGTGAATATTACTTAACCTTTAGGGAAATAACAGCTGAAACTTGTCTTGCAACGTTTAAACTTTCAACTTCCAACTTTTGACACAAGGTTCCAAACAAGAAATTTGCCAGAACAAGCTTGAAAAAAATACTTTGTTTTTGGATAAATGTCGACAAAGTCTAAATAACAAATATCTGTTACAAGACGGATTTTTAATTTTTTTTGGCGTTGGGGTGATATAACAAATAATCTGCTTATAAACTAAAGTGACATCACTCGTGGATGAACTGCTCCTTAGTGGCCCTCACCGCTATCTTGTTGCCATCAAACATCTCGTGGGTGCTGCGCTCCACAATTGTACCGCCGCCCACAAACTCCGTTTTTGACCTCTTTTTCATGATGCTGCGAGCTGAAAGTCGCTGTCATTGCCGGCATCTTCGTCACTCTTTGCACAGGGGGAGGGGACGGGTCACGAGGCTCAATGGCCCGACGGTCGGCTTTATCCGGATGTAAACCCAACAAGTAAAGACTTCACCTAGGTGTAACGGGGACTTCTGGTTCCGGTTGGTTCTTGTGCTGGGTCCCCCAGTGTCGGTCCAGATCGTCCTTTTTGCGGAACTGGGTCGTTCAGTATGGACATTTGACATTTTCCTTCCCAATATGTTGCTCATCAGTGTGCCTCAGCAGGGACGCAGAACTCTTAAACTGCCTCTTGCAGTCTTTGCATGCGTGATGTATTGTCGTGGGGGAAGTGGCTTTGGTCTCGTTTCATGCATCTTTCTCGAATGACACTGGAAAGAAAAAGAAGGGAAACAAAAAGAATTCTGGTAACTTTTTTTCGTTTACTTCGCACAATCATGGAATCTACAGCCAGTCACCATACCGCTGAGGTGGCCAGCGAGTTCTCCCTGACCTGTCTGTCACTGCTCAATTGGTCTATCACTTTAACCTCTTCAGAAATCTCCTCGTGGACCACCTCGGGGTCATCCTGGTGGTCACACCATCAAGCAAGCTTTTATGTTCCTCCAGTGCGTCCAATGGTGCATGTTTATCTGGTGCGTCAAGGATTCCAGGTCGTCTACCATTAACTGCAGCCACTATCGGTTGACATGTACGACCCTTGGCTTATGTCGACAACTTTTTTTGGATCCGAACGAGCTACTTTCGCCGTCTCCAGAAGTGGACAAATTAATGCGTTTCAACACTTCTGTCTGGTTGTCAATTTCAATAGGAGTAGGCCTAAGGCCCCCAAAAAAGTCTCCGGTTTCTGGTATGGAGCTTGCCCAGAAAATGTGGTGCGGCGAGCCGGCTTTTTTTTTTAGTTTACCTCATGTTTTTGCTTCAAATGTCGGCTGATGACTGCAAATGGTGCCCGACTAAACTCAGTGCAAAAATATGGGAGTCCAGAGAGGCCACATAAAGCTTATTCTCGACCATAACCCAATCTAAAAACACGTTAAAATTGTGCAGCAGCAGGATTCCAGTCAAACCAGTGAGTTTGGCTGTTTTGAGACATCATCTTTCACTGAAAAAAAAAAACTTTTTCATTTTGCCCAGAAACCGGAGACTTTTTTTTTGGCCTAATAGCACCTACTGTGTGGAATGTTCTGCCGTTGCACCTTTGTGTGCAATGTCGTCGCTGCTAAATTTAACAGTCAATACTGGCGCTGGTTCATTTGTCGTGCTTACTAGCGATGAGGCTCCCATGAAGTTCTCTCTGTGTGCCAACCCGGATGTCGGCTCAATTCCCTCATACGCCACGCCAATGTCACTTTTCCCTACGATCACTTCAGTCTGTGGTGGGATGACGACTGTTTCCATAACAATCACGTGGCAGCACCTCTGTAGCTCCGCTGTATCCCTCAGAAATAACTATGTCCCCCTCCACTCCAGACTCTTCTTGTTAATATTGACGTCAATAATGCAACTCTCTGATCGCAGGAAGTCTAATCCCAAAAGTACATCATTGCTAAAATCAGCCATAATTAATCCGTGTGTCACGTACTGGCTACCCAACTGGATTTCGGTAGTTACTTCTCCGATAACAGTGAAATACTTCTTGTCAGCGAGATGAACTCGAACGTTAGTATTTGTTATGCTAGCTGTGTCTTCAGTAGCCCATTTCTGCACGATTTTGTCAGATAAAATCGACGCCGTTGTTCCAGTATCAATCAGTGCCACCACTTCTACTCCGTTGATGACGGCATCCATGTGTAGCCCTTCACCTGCAACTGTTACATTCCGTGCGTGTAGATTATTATAGGCCCTTTTGTTTCAGCTGAGTAATGGGCCGCGCAGACTCATCTTCAAACAGTTTTCCAGTTCCTTGTTAGTTCTTGTTGACTTCTGAACAACCACAGGACCTTTCTCGCTACTAGTGTTCCCGGTAAACTGGGGACAGTTCGGCTTCATTATGTCCGTATTCCTCGCACTTGTAGCGCTTTGGTCCGTCGACCTTTTCACATGTAGCGGTTGTTCGTGGCTTTCCGTAATTTGTGCAATCGGTCAGACATTTCCTGAAGCTGCTTTTGCAACTCGGTTGTTAACGGCTTTCCGTCATCAGCTGGTTCGGCATATACTTGAAGAGCTGACTGAGCGCTAGCGCTGCGAACTTTTTTTCAGGTCTTGGGTAGTACGAGCCTTTTCAGCTTTTTGTAAGGCCACCAGTTAAACTGCTCCGGCTACGGCGTCGTTTAATGTCTTGGTGCGCATTTGGATAACGCGAATCCGTATTTCGCCGTCCGCCAAGGAATCTATGAAATGGTCTCTGCATGCCTATGCGGTCTCGAAATGTCCACATAAACCTTGTCCACTAGGCGCCCAATGTCCTCAGCCAACTCGACAAGACTTTCTGAGGCCTTTTGTCTCCCGTTTCTCAGTTGTGCCCTGTGTAGTTCTAGTCCCTCCGTTGGGTTAGAGGGCGCTTGGAGTACCTTCACCAGTCGCCTTCCGTCGTTTCCTTTGGTAGGCCACCTAAAATGTAATTCTCTGCTTTTTCATCTCTTAGATATGATTGCCTTGCCGGAGTTCATGATTGGTGCCATGGAGAACTGGGGATTGAATACATACAAAGAGAGGGAGCTGTTGTACAAGGAAGGAGAGACATCAGAAAAACAGAAGTATCGAATCTGTACACTAATTGCTCACGAGTTAGCCCATCAGGTTAGTCCGGTAGAATGTGCAAGTTAATTGTCTTCATCAATTACCCATCTTATTTGGAAAAAATAGGGTAAGGTACTCCTACATGAATGTGCCCAGATACAGAAGCTTTAACTTGCATTGCATGCAGCGTCTTCTTTGGGCAGGCCTACACATATTTGGTTTCCTGACGATGCTGTCTGCCCTTAACTGAACAGGTGCAAAAACCCTTGGTTTTGTAAAGCCTATGACCTTGTTGTGACACAGTACAATGTACATTTAGGTGCCTGTATATGAGGTGCATTAATTTGTATTTACTGAGTGGCATCGTACATATGAAACTGCTCCAGTGTCTTTCAATGCAGCTTTTGTTCATGATACAGTAATGTGTGGTAAATTGTGTTTATTGTGACAGTGGTTTGGAAACTTAGTGACGACAAAGTGGTGGGACTCCGTTTGGCTGAATGAAGGTTTTGCCAGCTATGTTGAGTATGAAGGAGCTGAATTTGCAGAGCCAGAATGGGAAGTGGTAAGAATTTACGGCCATTGAAACATTTACATATTCAAAAAGTTCATGTTATTTACATTATTTTCTTGCCTTCAACTCATTTGTTTCTGCCTCTTGTGAAGTTTTCAGAAGCTTGCATGGAAAAGATATAAAAAGGTTCTTTGTTAGTTTCTTTAATTTTGCTGCTTAATTACAACATAACGGTGCTAATTCCCAAAATAATACTGGTGATATTGAGCTTTGATCTGAAAGACCGAGTCACCATTGACAAAATGACGTCAGCATTTTCTCATTTGTTACTGCAGTTTGACAAGTTTATTTTGTATGATCTTCATCCTTCCATGGCAATGGATGCACAAGTTACCTCACGACCAATGGTTACCGACGTCTTGACACCCTCGGAGAACATCATGATGTTTGATAAGATCACTTATCTGAAGGTATACATATGTGTCCCGTGTGGACTCAGCTGTGCATAGTTTTACAATCTACCTAGATTTTAGTCTTACTTGTTGCATCGCTAAAGTCAACCTTGATATGCCTGTGTCACAATGCTCAATTATTGACAATTGATCGAGGAAAGATCACCATCGATCACAAGTTATCTTATGTTGTAAGAACGTGCATTTCTTTTTGTTCCCAGGGTGCCTGCATTCTGCGTATGATGAAATATTTCTTAGAAGAGCCAAATTTCAGAAAAGGACTCCAGGTATTATTTTACTTGCTGACTTTATTTCTTCCTTGTGGGTTCAAGCCCCGCCGTGGCCATGCGTGTTGTGCCCTTGAGTAAGATGCTTTACCTCAATTGCTCCTCTCAACCAACGTGTTAAATGGGTACCGACATTATTCAATGCTGGGAAGGTAACATACTCGCTGTGGAGGAGGTGTGACGATCCTCCCACAGCAGCAACAGTACAATGAGTCTCACCCAATCTCCGTTCCTGTGAACACAGGTTCGTCTCGTTTACCTTTTTACCTTGGAAACGAATAAAGCCAAATTTATTTTCAAGATTTAGTGAATAAGGAAAAAATAGAAGGCCTAACATTTCGGTCCTGGGAGGACCTTTGAGAAGGTCGAGCCACTTAGCCAGGACAAACAAATTAAGGACTGCATTTTTTTTGATTTACTGAGTCTTGAAAATAAAAGTTGAATTCTTCAAATTTGGTGTTGGGGTGTTGACGTTCTGTCGCGTTTACTAAAAAAAGTTTGTTTCCTGAATAGTATTCATAACTAATTAATGGTTGGTTGAAATTACTAATATTTGATCCTTATTACTGTAGATTGTTTTTAATCCCATCATTGTTGTTTGTTTCTTTCAGTACTACCTGAAAGCATTGCAATATGGTAATGCAGAAAACAGTGATGTGTGGGTTTACATGGACAAGGTATGGCAAATAGGATATCTAGACAACTATTGAAGGAGACATGTAACTAGATCACATTGACCTGAAAGTATTCAAAGTTGACCAGAATTGTTTAATCCTAACCTCACCTAAAGCTACAAAATACTACTGAGTAATACTACTTTCCATACTACTTTCCATTAACCTGTAACCTGTAGTATGCATTTCTTTTCATACAAGTGTGCACAACACAGTAGTATTCTGTGGTATTTGGTACTTGACCCCCAAAGAGCCCTTATGGGTTGTGGGTTAATGCTATAAATGAGATAGAAAGGTGACAGACTTGATTGGCTTTGTTTGGATAGTTGTCAATGAAATTCCATGGAGAAAGTTGACTTATTATAATAAGTTTGCTTCAATTTGTCGTATACCGGAACTTTTGAGAGCTAAACAAAATCAAGGTTCATGCTTTCACAGCATTCACACTAATTTTACGTTACTAACTATTGTAGGCTCATAGTGATTTGTATAAAAAGTGTGTTTTGGGGTTATTTTGACACACTTTTATTTTATGTTTTGAGTTTTATAGGCATTGCAAGAAGACAGTGTAGATCTTGGTGAGGGACTTGATGTAGCAACCATTATGGCAACCTGGACACTTCAGATGGGCTTTCCATTCATCACAGTAGAGAGAAGCTACAACGGTGCTCATGAAGTCACAGCTAGAGTGGAGCAGAAACGCTTCCTGTCTGATCCTAACTCAAACATGTCTACAGACTACCCAGATGTGGGGTCAGTACCTGGTGATAGAGCCAGTGGTATTCCTTAGAGACAACTTAGCTTCGCCACATCTGTTATGTAGACAGTGTACCTTAACTTCATGTTTATTCCTCACTTTCACTTTAGGGAACGTCTCCAAAGTCGGAACACTTAGAATGTTTATTTATTTATTTATTTATTACATTTCTTTACCCAGGCTATTAACAGTTCAAACTGGTTTCAATTGGTGCCCTGCATACAATAAAAAAATACTACAAACATGTATTCAAATACAATACATTAAAAACGCAATACAATACAATACAATACAATACAATGGGATTTAAGTGGGAGCCAAATTAGTTAATTGAATAATCAATTGATTAGTTTCTGTGGCTAACTTTGCCTAAAAGATTAAGTTTCTGAGGCTTACTTTGCCAAAAAGATTAAGTCTTTGTGGCTAACTTTGCCAAAAGGGAAATAAAATTAGACAGGTTTTTCTCTATAAATAATCAGATCTATTTTAATATAAATCAATAAATTATAAGATAACCTGGGCAGTATGTTTACCAGTGAAAATTAAGTAAGGCTTGTATTTATTGATAAGTAACAAAGAATAGATAAAATGGAACCACCTTGGTTATCGGTAAAAGTAATAATTAAATGCGACGTCACCGTAGCTCACCTATTAGCTGTATACTAGTGCCAAACCTGGTTCACTACGGCGACGAAGCAATGACTCACGTATAATATAATTGAAAATCATTGAAATAGCAAATATTATAAATACACCATATTGTAAAGTTATTAAACGTTACGCTGGGGAACATCGCCTGTTCGAATCGGGAACATGCGTTGTTCCCTCTGGGAACAGCGTGGGAAGTTGTTGGTCTATGAGCGTGAACGCTTACTCTGGAACTGTCTTTCCAGTTGGGAACATGCTAGGAACACAACGCGTTCCCGATATGCGAACACACAGTGTTCCTAAAAGGAACGTTCCAGACGGAAAAGGAATGTTCCGACTTTTGAGGCACTCCCTTATAGGCCGGAGGATGTAAGCTGGATGTTACTTTATGAATATAAGGTATGTTTTTGTTGTTCAGTTACAAGTGGTACGTGCCGTTGACTTACACAAGTGCAAGCAGCGCTGATTTTGATTCACCAAGAAGCATGTGGCTCCAACCACAAGATGAGTTTGGTAAGTGGAGAATTAGAGTAAGGGTCCATATTAGGGGTACCTTACAAGACTTCACATGAGCAGAACATTTGAATAAAACAAATCCACCAAAAAGTTCTTAATAATTCATTTTGTTCTTGTTTTTCATGCAGTTACCTTACAGATTCCTGGAGGCAGTGACGATGAATGGTTGCTAGTAAACGTCGAAAAGCGAGGATATTACCGTGTCAACTATGATGACAGGAACTGGGAGTTACTCAAGGTTCAACTGGACACTGAACACACAGTGAGCAAATATGTGTTGTCCTGACTTGTAGGATGTAAAACTCTACATTGTGAAGTCGTGGCCTGGTTATTTGCAGCATGGGTTTCATGTTGAGAATGGGGTTGTGAATTCACAGGGGATAGATTCTTGTTTCCTTGCGCAAGGTATGTTTCTACAATTACCTATTTGTCGTCAAGAAACAAATGGGTATTATAATTACCCTCTAAATTCCAAAAGGTGAAATTAGGGAATAGACGTTTTAGAGTGAAAATCACTCTCATGTTTGATTGAAATAATCTGAAAAAAAAGAACCACTTCAGACGGAACTCGAGTAAAAACTCAATCTTTACGATTGAAGAAATTTTACTCTAAAACGGCTTGTCCCTAGTTTCCAACTGTGGGAGTGAACTTCACTCGAATGGAGTGAATGGAGTGAATTATCTATCAAGGCCCTTGTATTTTGCTCTACACAAACGTCCTCTTTGTATGTTCAAGGTGATTCCGACAGCGAGTCGAGCCTCTCTCATCGGTGATGTCTTCAGTCTGGCAACAGCAGGAGAGATCAACCACCGTACTGCCCTGGATATGACCAGCTACTTGAAGGCCGAAAGAGACTACGTCCCTTGGTATGCTGCTGACCATGCCTTGGGAATGATCAAAAGAAACATTCGAAGGAGAGGGGTTTCTGCTAACTTCAAGGTAAAATTATTCTTAGAGTTGACTCAATATCCAATCTCAGTTATCTTTTATACAATTTTTAACTTTTGCTCAGGAATTTTGTTTAGAATTTTGTCACTTTGACGGAGCCCTATTTATTTAATGTTTTGATGTTTTCATGGAGATAAATATACGAATTTCCTCTGTAACCTTTTCAGAAATACATGAGAGGACAGGTCAGCCTGCTGTATGAATATATTGGATGGAATAATGAAGGGGACCATCTAAATAGGTTGGTATTCATCATGATATCCTGCTTTATCCAGTTTCCCCCGAGCTGCGTTATAGTCTAGTTTGATTGGTAATTTATAATTTCATTGTTTCAGAATGAGTCGTGGACTTGCTGTCAGTATGGCATGTCGCTATGGCAACGTAGATTGTCGACACACAGCAGTGAACCTGTATGCAGAGTTGATGGAAAACGGAGATCAAACCTTGTAAGTTATGACAACCAGATTATAATAAATTGTCAACAAAACTAAGCTGGCCTTGTTGAGCTTGACCAGAAGAGCCTCAGCTCAAGACATTATTTAAGGTTGTGCAAAGAAATTGACAGGAGGAGTGTTTGACCTCCGGATTGCCATTCCTGTGGTCTACCAACTGAAGTATTCAGCTCTATGTTCCTCATTTTGTTATTTAGTCACTTTGTGAATGTCTTTTTTCAAGGGGCGCTGCATGGTCAGAAGCAATGAACCTGTTTGCCATGCAGCCAGGGACCACGCCCAAAGTCACGATGCCAGCAACACTAGCAATGTGGCAAACCCGGAAAACAGCAAACGGGCATAACACAGAGAGGATACAGCTTTTATTACAAATTCTTTAAAAGAACACATATAGGATGAAGTCAGTATTCACAAACACTGACTGAGAGACAAGACATGTGCAGTTCCCCCCCCCCCTGTAAAAAGAATAGACTTCAGTATCGGAGGGGTTGACTGTCATGATACACAATTTATGTAATCCCTACCAATCTATAACCTTTACTCAGAACCTTTTTGACCTTTTGTTCTTGCAGAATCTCACCAGATATGCTAGGTACTGTGTTCTGTACAGCTATTGCAGCAGGAGGTTCAGATGAGTGGTACTTTGCCTTTCATCTCTACCAGAACCCTAACACAAGTACCTCAGTCAAGCAAGCATTGCTGACAGCCATGGCATGCACCAGTAAATCATGGATTCTAAGACAGTAAGTGAAGCAAAGAATCTAAGACACAATGAACTGGTGATAGTTGATGGAAGTGATGTATTACAAATGAAATGGGTCAGCGATTACATTTTTGTTTTCTTGACTAGAAATAGATGAATGTTACCTACGTGGAAAGTCCCTCCTTTACGTTCATAACAAAGTCATGGGGAGATTCACCCAAACTTATACAACCTGCTCCAGTTCTGGGCATCGCAATATTGAAATATGGATACATGTATCTCTCACCTAATTACTCTCAATTGAGAGGAATGCTTTAACTGGGTCTAGCTAATGGGCTCCGTATTGAGCGTCAGGCGTTTCGTCAGCGATTCATTCGAATGTCAATCGAAGTGGTCTCCCCCAACTCTCCCACCCTTGCCGCTAAGGTGTACTTATGCATGGAGCCCATTATCGTGTGTTAATGTATGGACAGCTTATCACCTTTCACTTCTGATTTTACAGGTACCTAGACAGTATCTTGAACAGTAGTATCATCCGAATGCAAGATGGACCAACCGTCTTAAAAGCAGTCGCTGGTAATCCTTTTGGCTTACCACTGGCCTGGGATTTCTTCCGAGCAAACTGGGACTTCATACGAGCTGCGTAAGAGCATATACTTATATATCATTGAATTTGACAAACATCTTTGACCCCTTTGCTTTGCATTGACCTCGGCCACCAGATAATGAGCTTGAAGATTCATGCCGGCACCTGGAGTTTTTCTTCATCTCGTCTTCTTTCTTTACAACATTTTCACTTTCAGATGATTAATCTTCAGGTTTTCTAACACGGTTGGACATTTTGTGTATTGTAAAGAAAGTTTCTTAAAAAAGCTCCGATCTGAACTTCAGTTAAAGAAAGATTGCTGCAGTTGTCATTTATACAATAGATCTGACCTTCCATTATGTACAACCTTTGAACTAATTGTTTCACATTCCCCTTTAACAGGTTGCTCGTACAGCAATTTTAACAAACTCTAAAATCATACAAGAGCAGAACCTTACTCTGTTTTTACCAAGTCAGGTTTATTGTATGTTTCTTTAAATGTGTAATCTTTACATTTCAGGTATGGTGACATCGTGTTTGTCCTTGATTCACTCATCGGTAGTCTTCTGTCCAACTTCAACACGGAGTTCGAACTACAAATGGTAACTTGTATTGGTTGATTTGATTTACAAAAGAGGAACGGACTGCAAGATAACAAAATTTTGTGATGATTCTTGTCACACTGCCATTGAAGCACTTATCCACATCATAGCACATCTGTGCAATTAGTTGTTTACTGAATGACGAACTGAGAGAAGGTACAATCTACTATTGACTTGTACGCAATCGGAAGTACTTTTTAAATTTTCAATTAAAACAAACTTGTGGGTGTTTATACTTTGTGGAGAAGATGGGAGGGAAATGTGATAGATTCAAATTTGATGGATTGTTACAGGTGAAGCAGTTTATTGCAGACCACCCAGATCAAGGCTCAGGTGCACGACCATTTGCTGAAGCTGTAGCTGTCATTGAGGCTAACATCCGATGGATCAACCTATACTACAAAGACGTAGCGGATTGGCTGAAAGAAGCTGTGTAAGTATTTAGCATCTGCTAATAAGAATCCAATTGCTGCAAAACATTCAGTTTTTGCCTAGCATCCAGTTTCTTCTAAGCCAAGACTCTTGTGCGGACTGAGTCTTTGGGATTTTTTTTTCTTCATTCCAATGGCCAACATGGCTATCCATCATAGACCTTCAATGTTAAACACTGTAAATATGTTGACAGTAATAGCACATCTCAAGACGTACAAGGAAAGTCAGAATGATCTGGACCTAAATTAAAGAAATATTAAAAATATGTAGCTATTATCAAAACAAGTGCAAATGAGAAATGGTATTATAGGCTGGTATTTTGGACATATTTGGTTAAAGTTCAATGTATATCCATTGAAAAGCGCTAGCAAAAAGCACACGCTAAACAAATTTTTACCACGGTTCCATGGTTAAAAATATATTGAAATCGGGAACTGTATGTGACTGTATTGTTTTTTGATGACGCTTTCCTTCAAAATGGTACAGTGGATATTCATGAAACGTTCATGTCCCAATTACCAATTTTACATCTCATTTGCAATTGTTTTAATAATTGCTACATTATTTCTGACTCACCCTCTATCTTCTTAAACATAAGGTTATTTATAGAAACCTTACCCTTTTATCCAAAATGTTTGTTGCAGCAAGGAACCATGGGAAAAGAGTCGTCTACCAGATACCATCCTGCCGATCTCATACGACGTCAAGGTCCGAACAGACCTAACCAACTTTGTCTTCAATGGGTCTGTGGATGTCTTAATTGAGTGTCTCAAAAGGACATACATCATTCTCTTACATAGTGGTGGCTTAACCATCCCTGACAACACAGCTACACTAACGCAGCAGGATGGTGGACAAGCCCCAAGATTCAAGTCTCCACCATGGCGGTATTATTACAACGATTATCTAGTGATGGAGCTAGACTCTCTCCTTGAAGCAGGCACTAAGTACTGGCTGCATCTTGACTTTACGAGCTTCTTGATTGATGGCTATATTGGTTATTACTTGAGTAGCTACGTCCTGAAATCTGGTGAGACAAGGTAAAGGTTTAAGTTACATACCGGTACGTTTGTTATCATCTTCATTATGCCAGTTGTCAAATTGTAATCTAGCTAGACTGACCTTAATATTTGTGATTTTCAGCTTTTGCAGCAAGTGTTATTGTATCGCTGGTGGATGTCAAATAATTAGATAAGCTCAAGAGAAGATTCTGTAGATTCATTTATTGTGTACAGGTACATGGCAAGTACGACATTTGCTCCAAGCGGAGCTCGGGAGGCTTTCCCATGTTTTGATGAACCTGACATGAAAGCTACCTTTACTATCACCATGGAGCACCAACCCCAATACCATGCCTTAGCCAACATGCCCAAGAGTCGTCCTGATGAGGAAATTGAAGGTGGTTGGAGAAAAGCAACCTTTGAGAAGAGTGTTGTCATGTCAACGTACCTCGTCTGCTATGCCGTCAGCGACTTCAAGGCCAAGTTTATGACCACTCAGAATGGTGTAGAGGTAGGTGTTTGTAACCACACTGTTTTATGGCTTGCAAAACCCCAAAAACTAATACTAATAATTATTCTGTAATTTAAAGAAAATTGACATGACTTATGATTGTATTAACAGGAGGCATAATCTGGCCAGTCTTGAAAAACAAAATCTAGCAATCCTTGAAGATAAAAGTTTGTCCAACCAACATGTCACCTTCATTATGGCTGGTTGTAATGGAAGTAGCTAGTATGCACATGTAAGCAACACAACTATAGTCGATTTGTTGAAGGATTTCAGCAGAAAATTTGTTTTAAATGTTTGTTGCAGTTAGGAGTTTGGGCCCAGGGAGATCTCATCAACCAAACTGACTATGCTCTTCAGAAGGGAGTGGAAATTCTAGACTACTTCGATGACTTGTTTGGAATGGATGTCAAGTATCCAATAGCTAAACTGGGTAAGTCTTTCCAATATGAGGTAAATAATGTATCCCCCATTATCTTTGCCTGTATTTTTACCTGTGAGTGGGTACTTGCCCATGGAGACAATACCCAAAGTAGGTTTCTGAAAGCGCTTTCCTTTTTCGTTTTTGTTTCTTTGTCAGACATGATTGCTCTGCCAGAAATGCTTTATCAAGCCATGGAGAATTGGGGTCTGATAACATATGCAAAGACTAATCTCTTGTATGAGGAGGGAGTGTCATCTGAACGTCGGAAAGAAAGAGTGTGCACTTTCATTGCTCATGAGTTAGCACATCAGGTGGGCCATTGTCAGTCTGTCATGACGGTTCAGTGAAAATTAGCAGTACTAATACAGTGATGAGTAGCACCTTAGTTTCACCGCAAAAAAAAAAAAAATCCCGGAAGCCTCACCAAGCTTGCCATTTTTTCCTCACTGACGGTGCCCTTTTTAGCATCACTGAGAGTGCCATTCCCCCTCCGGTTCTGCCTCAACCAGAGCCATATATAGAGAGAGTTGCGACATGAGGGTTGCACTGTTTGGAAACAAAATGGCGGATTGTGCATCAGTGCACATATATAATTCGTACACGATAGTCGTACGCTGCACCATAATGAACGGCAATTATGGTTAAACAGTCTGAAGTTGTCGCAACTCGCTCTATGTACGTGCCTTTTTTGCCTTACGTGAGGCTGCCAATTTTGCCCCACTTGGACTCCCATTTTTGCCTCACTCATGCTGCCATTTTTGTCTCACTGAGGCTGCAATTTCTTGCATCACTGAGGCTGCAATATTTTTTGCCTCACAGATACTGCCGTTTTTACCTCACTGAGGCTGCATTGTTTTGCCTCACTGAGCGTGCCATTTTGCCACACTAAGGCTGCCTTTTTTGTCTCACTGAGGCTGGAATTGTTTGCCTCACTGAGGCTGCCATTTTTGACTCGCTAGGGCTGATTTTTTTGCCTCACTGAGGTTGCCACTTTTGCCTCACTGAGGCTGCATTTTTGTTTTCAAAACCTAATGAACCATACAAAGACAAGCAACAATTGTGAAAGTAATTTTTGTCATGTTTGTTTGCAGTGGTTTGGTAACCTAGTGACAGCCAAATGGTGGGATTATACGTGGTTGAATGAGGGCGTCGCTAGGTGGTTGGAGTATGTTGGAGCCGCGTATGCAGAACCAGACTGGGAATTGGTAAGGATACCTCTGTCTGACATCGATATTATTAGTCTTACAAAGGTCAAACAAACTGAACAATTACCCAGGACAAGTCGCGTCATTAGAGTTTAACACATAAGGTAAGAGTGACGTCTCAGCAGGTTATTCTTGGGGGAAAAATTACTTGCAAGACAATGTTGTTGATAAAATCTTGGGCAATGCCAGTTTGAGAACGTTAAAACCATAATAGTTAGATGAAACTTCATTTCAGGTGAACTTGAGCTCTTTTAGCAAAACAATCTCATCAGTAGAATATGCATGACACTGCTGTTAAATTTACAAGTGGTTGACGAATTGAAATTATAATGAAAGTGACTTATATTTACAGTGGGACAAGTTTGTTGTTTCTGAGGTTCATAAAGCGATGGAAACTGATGCATTGCCTACATCACGGCCTATTGTCATCAAAAGGGCAAGATATGGAATTGGAGACGCGTTCCCTTTCTTAATTTACACAAAGGTTTGTGTTTTCAGCCTGCTTCTAGTTCGTAGAAAAGTCATTGTCTAAAAAAAAAATGATCCCAACCAACCTACTTGCCATTAGGTGAACCTATTTTATCTAATACAATAAACACAAATTCAATATAACAGTTCATTATCTGCGAATTACATGAAAACGTTTGTTACAATTGGTAGAGGCCAGATTGTCCATATGCCGAGTCAGACTTGTCTTTTGTTTCTCAAACATCTGTTTTGTCAGGTAATAGGAAATGACACCTTGTTTCCAATCATTTGTACAACTTCTGATCAAGGGCGGATCCAGAACACAATTTTTTGGTCCCCCCCAAAAAAGTGGGTCCCAAAAAATACGTCGTGGGGTTCGGGGCCCGCTTTTTTTGGATTCTAGATGCTCTGTGGTGCGATCTGAGGCAATTTCTGACCACTTTAACCAATTTTTTTTTAGGAAAAGATGGTGGTGTACTCATTGCCTGCCTTTATTGCGATGTCACATAAAAGAAAAAAATGGTTTCGTTTTTTTTTTTGGGGGGGGGGTGGGGCATGGCCCCCTTTGCCCCCCCCCCCCCCCTGGATCCGCCCTTGCTTCTGATCAGACTATAACAAACATCGATGCCTCCCACATAATCTGTTTCTGAAGAATTTCTCTTAAGGCAAGAACAAATTATTCCTGTCCTGTTACAGGGTTCATCACTGATGCGTATGGCAAACAATTTCGTTGGTCAAGACACATTCTTCAGAGGCCTTAAGGTAAGTGTCAATAGTACAGAACTAGTTCTCCTATTTTGTTTTGGGGATGCGAATGAGAGCTGTATCATGATTACATGTCAGACATTTTCAAGTACACAGACATGTAAAACAATTTATTCTTCAGCCAGACACTGAAACTAAACTCCTGACATATGTCCTAATTTGGTTTCAAATAATCCCTAAATGTCCATCTCTTAATGTTCCTTCTTGCCTTATTTCGCTTTACATGTACTTGTTTACTTGTCATTTCTGTTTGGGTTACTTTTATGTATAATGATACAGTAGCAGATGGTAATGTATGTAAGCTAACCATTTTGTTTGAATCTCAGTCATACCTCAGAGCTCTGCAGTATGGCAATGCTGAGAACAGTGACATGTGGTATCATGTAAACAAGGTAGGAAAGAACATATCTGTATTTTACTACATGACTATTTCAATGTTTTCAGTGACCCTACTTTGTAAGTAACTCACAACCAAATATTTTTTTATTTTTTTTTATTTTATTAATGTGACATTCAGGCAACGAAAGAGGATGGTGTTGATCTTGGAGATGGAATAACTGACATAGCAACGGTCATGGACTCATGGACCAATCAGATGGGCTTTCCAGTCGTCATGATAACGAGGACATACTCTGGACAAGCCAATAAGATCACTGCTTCAGCTACACAGAAGCGATACCTGGCAGACCAATTAGCAGACACGACGTCACCATACCCAGACCTTGGGTGAGTTTATTAACCCTCCTTTGCGAACATACATTCTGTGCAAAGTAGTCCTTTCAGAACCTTTTTAGAACTCCCAGCCTAGATAAAGCAGGATTGACTGGCTGGGACTGTTTAAGTAACTTGGTACATCTTTGCTTTAACTGTGGGTAATTGATAAGCCAGCTCTGCCCACAACTTGCCTGCTTTGTCTGTTCATGGTATGTTAACTGAGTATGACTAGACACAGTGCTTGCTTGAAATACGATCTAATGACTTCTGGTGACTAGCCTGTATTAAAAGTAGAGTAGGGGAGGTGGAGGGAAATTTGAACTGTTTAAATCGCAGGAGGGTTAAAGATGGTCATGAGAACATGTAGGAAAACAATTGTTTAGAACTGTCCGTCTAAACCCTACACCAGTGTGTTTGATCTTAATTCCCCAAAGTCGTACCAAACCACGACTCAGGACATTAATTACATTCTTCTTGTTATCAAAATCACCGTTGGACAGTTTCTGCTAAGAAGGTTAGTTATGTTACATTTCCCAGAAAAAAATTATCTAAGGTACTCTTATAAAATCAAATCGCCTTGAATAGTTTCATTCAAATAACGGCTTTATATGCATTTTGTTCGTTTATTTGTAGATACGTATGGCACATTCCCTTGACTTTAACCGGTGGAGCTAATCCCAACTTGGCTAATCCTGAGCTCCGTTGGATGAGACCTGAAGATCAAACCAGTAAGCTTGTCTGCTTATATCATGACCTTGACAAATGTCATGAATGGTAAAACGTATACTTGTTCTTTACTCTGTATACTTGTTTATTTTGTCTACCAGCGGAAGTTGTCCTGCATGGTGCTGGTGGTGACAGCAACTGGTTTTTGGTCAACGTTAATCAGACAGGATTTTACAGGGTCAACTATGATGAGACAAACTGGGCCTTACTTAGTGCACAGCTACAGGCAGACCACACGGTATGTTTAATTGATTAAAATGGGTTTTATACTAAAAAAAACCCACCAAAGTATCTCATATCAATGTGTGTACCCTTGCAAGATCCCTTGTCTTTATATCCCTACCCATGTCCCGCTGGATGAATGAAAGCTAGGCTTAGGATTGGGATTGGATCTCAGTCACCTATTAATGTAACCAAATAGTTTCTAGTTGTTGAAGCTTGTTGAAATGTAAAACTTGCAAAAGTTACATTGTTGTGTGCTATCTGCAGGTGATTCCCATATCGAGTCGTTCAGCCCTCCTCTACGACGCCTTCAGCTTGGCCAGGGTTGGGGATCTTAGCCAGACCAAAGCATTGGATCTGACATCTTACTTGGACGTGGAAAAAGACTATGTTCCCTGGGTTGCTTTTAAAGGAGTTGTGGAGTATGTCAGTGACAATTTGGCCTTGGAGGATGCTAATGAGAAGTTTACGGTAAATACAGTTTCATGCATAAACTAGGTTTTGGCTTATTTAGGGGATTGAGAATGGAGGGACACAGGCCTCCCGCTTGAGGCATTCCCCGCATTTGGGATGGGCAAAAGTGAGCCTCTATTATTATGTCATTGAATACCACCTCTGGATAGTAAGTTCCCCTAAGTACACTTGCCTGCAAATTGGACCCCAGTTAAGCCACTTGTTTCACTAAGAAATCAAATAAAAATTTGGACTTTACAACTAAGCCCAAAAAAGGTCTCCCGCTTCTGGTATGGAGCTTAATTGCCCCAAATATGGTGCGGCGACGCAGGTTGTTTGTTTTTCCCTACTTTTTTTTTTCCTTCAAATGTCGGCTGAAATTGCAGATGGCGCTTCGATCCCCTTAAAGTCTCAAAAATATCCTTCAGGGTGGAGCTTGAGGTGACCTCAGTAAGGCCATAAGGTTTGGAAATTCTGGACCCACTAACGATCTCGACCGACGCGAACATTTTTCGGAAAATTTGGATAGTTCCGACAAAAATCTAAGAAAACGGTAACGTCGGACCATCGACATCGTGCTGTTCGTGCATGAGCTGTCAGGCTGGTCATTAGTCTGCTCCCTCACATATTGCGCTAATTAAAAAGCGTTTACAGGTTCCAGATAAATGATCATCGCTCCCTCAGTCTGGCTTCCAGACGCACAATTACAAAATTACAACATCGCCTGCAAATGGTGCCCGACTAAATTTAGTGCAAATATATGGGAGCCCAGAGAGGCCACATAAAGCTTATACTCGATCGTAGCCCCATCTAAAAACAAGTTAAAATTGTACGGCAGCAGGATTCCAGTCAAACCAGTGAGTTTGGCGGTTTTGAGGCATCATCTTACATTAAAGGGACTTTTTAATTACAGCAACGTGCACGCATACCAGAAACCGGAGACTTTTGGGGGCCTTAAAGGAATGTACGGTTTTTCTTTTTGTGCAATATGTTTCACAACAGCTGTATGCCTGGAAAATTTAAAGAAAATGATACATGGACAAAGGTGGACAGGCAAGTCATCTTTGGTGAGTTTACTTGTTCGTCAATAGTCCAAACTATCTTCACCCTGTGAGAAATGTCTATAAAGCTGCCCTTGTCTAAACTGACGATTGGGTAAATTTGTATTTTCATTTGAAGATATTATAAGGGTTTTGGTTAATTTTTCTTCATTTGGTCAGGAGTATGTGAGGAGTAAAGTCAGCCCGATGTATGAGTACGTAGGCTGGGAAGATGGAGGAGATGATGATGATCATCACAAGCGGTGTGTGAACATTTTCTTTATTTAAAGTGGTAATATATTAAGCCATATGCCATTTCAGTCCATGATCCTGGAGTGTACTACCAAACAGGTTAGAAGTGCATGTATGTTGAGGATTCCTCGATGGCCATCAATGAAACTATTTTTTTTTAATTCCTAGACTGTTTGTGATTGTTGATTTCAAATGATACCGCTGTATTGTATATATGTAGGTTGGCTCGAGTGCAAATCATTGATATGGCTTGTAAGTACGGCAATGAGCACTGTGTGAGTAGAGCTGCCAGGATGTATGCAGATTGGATGACGACCGATAAAACAACCACTACGTGAGTCCATAATTAGCTGTCTATATACCTTTCTAGTTTTAAGCCTTGATATGCAAACATTCAAATCAAGAGGCTTTATATCGCAGTATTATACTGCAACTTTGTCCAACTATTGTGTAGAATTACGACAATGATTTACACTTCTTGTCTTTCCTGTTGCCCCTCGTCTGCTACAAATAATACATGTAGTCTCTTATTAGGCCAAACAAAAAAAGTCTCCGGTTTCTGGTATGCGCGCGCGTCGCCGTAGCCATGCGCGTCGGCAAAATGAAAAAGTTTTGTTTTCAATGAAAGATGATGTCTCAAAACCGCCAAACTCACTGGTTTGACTGGAATCCTGCTGCTGCACAATTTTAACGTGTTTTAGATGGGGTTATGATCGAGAATAAGCTTTATGTGTCCTCTCTGGTCTCCCATAATATTTGCACTAAGTTAAGTCGGGCACCATTTGCAGTCATCAGCCGACATTTGAAGCAAAAAAAAACAGTTAAAAAAAAAAAAAGCCGCGTCGCCGCACCACTTTTTGGGCAAGCTCCATACCAGAAACCGGAGACTTTTTTTGGCCTTAAATGTGAATATTTATTTTCCTCTTTCAGGATTGCATCCAATCTTCAAGAGACAGTGTTCTGCACAGCCATCGCTGCAGGTGGACAGAAAGAATGGGACGCAGCCTACTCAGCTTATAATGATCCTAACATCGACAGCTCCCTCAGGGATATATTGGTAGTGGCCATGGGATGCAGCCAGAACAGAGAGATCTTGGAAACGTACCAAAACCAATTTGTCTTATTAATTGGATGTGAAGTGCTATTATTTAGTCCTGTTTTAAAATTCAAGTAGCTCAATAGCTCATGTAGAATTAGAACCAGTGTCTGAGTGATGGAACCTATTTACCGTTCTTGCAAGCCATCCCCAACAATCTCCCGTCCCCTGCCTGTCATAAAAAGATATAAGAATCATCAGGAGGGTAACCGGTGTTTGACTGGAGGTTGGGAGAGTTGTATAATAAGCTTGTCCAGGTAAACATTCATGAGTAGAATGAGGAATTTGTGATACTTCTACAAACAGATATTTGATATTTTTGTTCTTTTCCCCAGGCCCGGATTATCCAATAGGCACAGTAGGCACTAGGCTATGCCTAGGGCCTATAACAAATTTATTTGGGGGTCTACGAAAATATCGCAGTGAGCCATGAAACACATTATTATAGGCCTAGGCTACTTACACACACCCACATGCAGAGAAAAGTTATATTCAAAAGATTTTAACAAGTTTTAGGGTTTCTCTCAGAATGTTAGATTTCACCAATTGACGATGTACATCATGTAGGCCCTATACGTACACAATTTACAGGTAAAGTACGTCATTTCTGAAGCACGGTGCCAACCATGGGCGTCGATTGGTGGGGGACGAGGTCACAGGGGGGCATGTCGTTTCCCCTCCCCAAAAACTGTTTTCGTCCCCGAATAAAATAAATGTGGCTTCTATTTTTATTCTTTACCTCAGAATAGCCGATTCAGTGACTCCAAATGCAAAATTGATGTTTAAATGATGATCTTTTGCTACAAAAACAAAAAAAAATGGTTAAAGAGGTCAGAAATTGACCCAATAAGCGGCCCCCGAACCCCAACCCGTTTAGGTTCGCACACGCATTAGTTCTGATCAAGATACACTTGTACGTACCACCCAACAGCCCCACTTTTGAGAAGCGATTGACGCCATTGGTGCTTTTAGAGCTGGAACCCATAACAATTTTGCCTGGCTTGATTTGTACAGTGCATTGTAAATTGAATTTGGTGCCGTATGGCCTACGAAACACTGATCCCTAAGGCCTACGAAAAACTTAATCCGGGCAAGCTTTTCCCCTCCTTCTTTCAGATATCTGCGGACAGTTCTGAATTTCACCCTAATGCAAAGTAGGGATGGTCAATACGTTATCTCAGCCATTGCTGGTAATCCAGTCGGAAGGACCATGGCGTGGAAACTTGTTGCAACTGAATGGAACTTCTTTAAGACTATGTAAGTTGAATATTGACTCCATCCAAGCTGTGTAGAGCTAGACATCCAGCCAGACCACCACTCACCCTTGTGATCTAAAATAAGAAAATCACAATACATTGTTAATTGAACTAACTATGAGTCTTATATCTCACCCACAGATTCTCTATCTTGATTAGCCGAGAGCGAGTCACATGGCATTGGCTATTTTTTTTGCCATTTTGCTGTGCATGGCTAAAAGCATAGCAACCAAAGCACCATACCTGTAGTAACCAAAGTGATATTAAATTATGCATGACAACCGGTATAAGTTGTGTGCAAATTCATATGGGTGTGCGCGTTGTGCATATTGTTCCCAAGCACTAGCGCTACAGAGTTTCAATCATTTCAATCATTTCATGAAGGGGTTGTTTGAAAAAGTGTAAGTAAATTTTCAAATAATTTCGTAATCAAATAGAAGAACATTTTAATTGTATTTAGATTAAATTAATCAGTTATCATTTAAAATTAAGCAGAATTTGTGGGAGTGGTACTATAAAGGAAATATTGACTGCTTTATCTCCTGGTATAGTAAAATCAGCCTCCCTCGGTGATTCATGGAACATTATATTTTCCCTCGGCTTCACGGATCAACTCGGAAGGCTAGTTGTACTACACCACACAAAGCAGTCAATTTTGTATAATGTTGTTAGGTTATATTCTCTTGTAGGTTTTCTAAACAGTTGATTTTTGAGAAGATATTTTCTGTGAAATTTGGGCAAAGCATCTAGGGCACCTGGGGCGGATTTAATCTACCTTTGAAGCAGTAGCCAATCAGCCAATTTGGCAATGCATGTTTTTCATGATAAATATCAACAAGTAATATTTTTGTTGGTGCATCCTTCAATGGAAGGAGAGGAAAACTATATATGCCAGAATATCTTCCTGAGGATTTGAAATTGCCGTTGAAAAGGTAATAGAAAATATACAAATAAGTATTAACTTCTGAATATTTTTATTTTTCATTTAAAGGTATGGACTTGAAGTGGTTAATATGGTGACTTCAGACTTGAACACCGAGGCTCAGCTTGAGAAGGTATGATTGATGCATTTTTCAACTTTAATTCATTATCTTTTCATCCATTTATATAATGTGTTTGTTTCATTTTTTATTTTATTTGCTTCATAATTATTCAGTTGTTATTTGTGAAGGAAAAAATGAACAGGGATCAGTAATGTTTGGGATAAACAATATTTATTTATTTTTTTTTTTAAACATAAAGGTGAAGAAATTCCAAGCAGACCATTCTGAAGAAGGGAGGGATGTATATGACGCATTCGCCAAAGCAATCACTGTAATAAGAGCTAATGTCCGATGGATGGATGGAAACTATAACGATGTCGCTAATTGGCTCAAGAAGGTTGTGTATTAGGGTCTATAACTCAGTCAACCTGAGCATTAACATGAGGAAAAAACATTTGTAGACGAATGCGTTTTAAAAGCGGAAAGTAAAATACACTTAAGCGGAAAATCCACTGATATTAACCTATTGCGGGAGAATTGCGTCAACGCAGCTTGTGAAATATTGTCCAATTTACATGATATAGAGATGGGCGCGTGACGCGCAAAATCTGAGACAAAACTTCAGGTACAAAATTCCATAGGGTTGTCTAAGGGGCGTGGCTAACTCGCAAACGGCGATAGGTCAATTGAGCGAATGTTTAAAGAAAAAAAGAACGTTTAAAACCATTCCGATTTGTTTTCCCCCTGGCCAGGAGGATATTGCTATCGCGTATTCCTTCTGTGTGTCTGTATGCGCGTTTGTTTATGGTGTAAATCGAGGACACACACGTGCAACATCATCGGTGAATCGAGGTCAGAAACCAATCGAGGACGAACTCGATTAGAAAACATGCACAAAACCAATGAGAGCTGTTGCGAAAAGTTGGTGTACAAACAAAGGAAAAGGGAAGAGGAACAAAAGAAAATCCTCGATTTACACCATAAACAAACGTGCGTGTTCTTTTAGTGTCCGTGTGTGTATGTTCCAGTTCACTGTATCGGTCATCAATCTCAACCAAACCCGAAAGGTGGTCTGTGGAGAGAAGCTCGATGTCAAAAAAATACTTTCCAATATGAATATTTACGAGGTCTCTGGAGAGCTCAGTTCAGTATGACTCTATAATAATGGTCCTTTCCACACTAAAGGGGTACAAAAGTGTGACATGGGATTGGGAAATGAAGCAGGATAATAATACAAAGTTGTTTGTCCTATTTTCCAATTGTACATTCCCACCCCATTGTTGAGGATTTTGCTTTTAAAGAATTTATGACATCCAAGGCAAATTTCACAAGATACTTATATGCTCGCAGTGCTACGTGCGTTACATGGACAGACAGTTTGCGAAGGTGGATGGTGCAAGTTTTACTTGCAGTATTTTTTAAATGAGGGAGATGATAACATTTGCATGTTCTATTAAACCCTTGTAGAACCCTTCTCTCAGAAAAGTTATTAGTGAAACAGTCGCTGTTTGATCACATCGGTGGTTTTCGAGGTCTGTAGAGTTGTTTATGATTTCATTTATATCTTACTATTTTGAAGTGTGTTTTGCTAGTTTTTTGTTATGTCTGATAGTGGTTGCAGTTAGATTTGTAATCGTTTTATTCAAATATTATGCTGTTTAAATGTACCTTGTATTATTCAGACGTTTTCTAATCAAAGTGTTAGTTTCAAAGTGTTAGAAAAGCGTTTTCCATACCAACAAACGTATGCGGATGTGACATGTTACATGTGTGAGGGATGTCGGACGTACTTGTAAGTTACGATGCACTTGTAAGTTTACCGGTGTGCGGCAACAGCGCCACCTTGCGGCGGCCTTGGCATTCCTCACGTTGCCATCGCCTCCGCTGTTGGCCTTTCCGCTGCACACCAACTTTCAGGTAAATTTCTCTATTTTGTTAACTGTAAATTCCATTTAATTTAGATAATCATACTTTTGGGGGAATATAGCAATTGTGGGACAACTTTGGTAACGTTTAAAGGGATATTTAAATAGGTAATTTAGGTCAAACTTTTCTGTAACTTTTCGATCGATGAACAAATGGAGGCCCTCTTGCGGTACGTTCAGAATAGTTCGTATACATGTACATGTATCTCATGCCCAAAATTGACGATGCCATGACTGAAAACTATTGTTGTTATTCTTGTATTAAAGTTGTTGAAATCATATGGGTCTTCAGTGAAGTTAGTACTAAGGTTTATTCATTTTGACTTGACACATATAAACAAGCTTTTCTGTTCTTTTAGTCACATGAAATTGTACATGTAAATACACATGTAGGAAGATTTATCACATGTAAACAAACATGTACTTGGGGAATTTATAACGTGAGTGCCCTACTTAAATATGATTGGAACTTGGATTTTGTGTAGAATATGTGGACTTTAATTAAGCTGGATTTTATCTCTAAGGTAACACAGTAATTAGAGAGTAATCCGAGAGTACTTGTGAAATATTGATTCACAGTCTTTATTTCAATTCACATGTTAATTAATGACTCAAGTGACAACCAGAGTAAACTCTTTGTCATTGCAGTCAGTAAGTAAGTCCATATACTGGTAAATTCCAGTAGGAAAACTGACCAGGGTAATTAATTTCCTGACGGTTCCTAATTTTAATCTGTCGTTATCTTGCATCAAAGTTCTCGTCTGATGATTTTCAAACTATACATGTATAAATTTTGTCTTAAGTTAACTTTCAGGGAATACTTGATTTATTTTGTTTTCTCTTTCTTTTTATTTTGATTCCTCACGTTGCCATCGCCTCCGCTGTTGGCCTGTCCGCTGCACACCAACTTTCAGTGGCTGGAATAAAACATCACATATAGAGATCCGAATCCTGGGTGTTCGCTGTGTGTTCTTCACCAAATCACCACAGCTGACCAAACAGCCCCCCCCCCCCACACATGTAACTGCAAAAGTGTTGCTTGCTTCATCATTGGTTTATTCTTTGCTTTTAGTTGGTACCTTGCATGAAGTCTTTATACATGCCTTTTGTTTTGCGAAGCTAAAAGTATAGTTAAAAATAGTTTGTTACTCTTTGTGCTTTACGGATCTGTTATTAAATGTGGCCTTTCTTGAAATTAAAATGAATTTCCTATGTTTCCTGAAAATGTATCTTTCAATTCAATAGGAGATTTCATTTCAACCTATTCCTTGAAATGAAACTTGATCATGATGGGGGGAAAATCTGCACTTCTGTGAATATCCCAGTGGGCAAACGAGATTATTGTCTGACTTTTTTTCACAATATTGCCTAAATTTCCATTCAGCAATTGTCTCTCATGCAGATCGATGTAGGCCTATATCAATAAAGCACTGAATAAGGCCAAAAAAGTCTTCGGTTTCTGGTATGGAGCTTGCCCCAAAAGTGGTGCGGCGACGCGGCTTTGTAAAATTACCCCCCCCCCCCCTATTTTGTTTCTTTAAATGTCGGCTGATGTTGCAGATGACACTTCGATCCCCTTAAAACTTTCAAAAATATCCTTCAGGGTGGAGCTTGAGGTGACCTCAGTAAGGGCATAACGGCTTGAGAATTCTGCACCCACTTACGATCTCGACCGACACGAACATTCTTCGTGAAATTTGGATAGTCAAGAACAAAAATCAGAGAAAACGGTAACGTCAAACCATACAGCAACAGCGACATCGTGCATGTGCTGCTGGGCTGGTCATTAGTCTGCTCCCTTACATATTGCAGTAAATGAAAAGCGTTTACAGGTTCCAGATACATGACCATGGTTCCCTCAGCATGGTTTCCAGATGCAACAATTACAAAATTATAACACCGTCTGCAAATGGTGCCCGACTAAATTTAGTGCAAAATATATGGGAGCCCAGAGAGGCCACATAAAGCTTATACTCGATCGTACCCCATCTAAAAGCACGTTAAAATTGAAAAAAAAAAAAATTGCCCACGCGCATGGCTACGTCGATGCGCGCGCAGACCAGAAACCGGAGCCTTTTTGTTTGTTTGGCCTAATATGTTAATACCTCGTTGATGAATTAAAATAAAAACGTTTCTGTCACTTAACGAACAAAACGTCATATACCAATGGGCAGATAAACACCGATAAAAGAGCGTCACTCCATCCATAAGTAAAGAATGTTTGCCATCAGTAAACATAAAAAAATGTCCTTTTGAAGGATTAACACGGTTATTTATCAGTGAACCAAATATGAACATGGAATACCTGGCACAGACTTGGTGGTATAAGAGGGACCTTCCAATAAGACTCAGAGGGTTTCCAAGATCAAATTTAGTGCAGGTTAAGTGTTTTACCAGCAGATCCCAAAATTGATCTTATGAATACAAAAAACACTTTCATGGGATACCACTTATCGGTGCGACAGATTTAAGGGATATGAAGGGGGGGGGGTAGCCAGATATGCAGCGTGAACAATAACAATTAATTACCGTTGTCTGCCGGGAAAAAAGTAGATCCCCTGAATATATTCCAATCATACCAATTAAGACATGTTATGAGGATAATTCAGACTGGGACCAAATCAAAACGTCCTCAATTCTTCAACCTCCACACGGTGTAGAGTTTTATACCATCAGATCGCACGTTTGGAATTAAGTCTACCAAAGTAGTCTGTATATATGTTGCTTTCTGTGGATATTGAAAGAAAATTGGCCATAGGTTATTTAATTTTGAGTGAAAATAACTCTAACATAGGTACAGGCCTGTATTTTTTGTATTGCTCGATTTTACTTTATGCAACACAGTATAAAGATTTCTTTGTCTTCAACTATATAATAATTTAAAACCGGTCATAAAGTGAAGGGCTTTGGACCAAACAGAAGAGTTATATCGTCACCGACACCACGAAGTAACATCCAAGTCCGCTCCAGTTTTACTTCGTGAAAACCGCTCAATGGTTAAATTTTGGTTTCACGAAGTTACACCCAAATGTGCTCGCGTACTTCGGACACTGGCGCAAATGGATTTTCGGTTTTACCAAGTTAAAACGCTGTTATGGAAATACAATTCGGAGAAAAACGCTTTAAAATAAAAGCCTGAGTTGCTTCGTGCAAACGAAACTATACCGAGTGAGCACACAGTGTACTTGGGTGTTCACTGGTGAAAACGAAAATTACTCAGTTAGCCTATGTAAAATACGCACGCGTAGCGTACACTTAATCCACTCGGGTGTCTCTTCATGTAGTCAGTATGTAACAGATCTTTACTGTCATATTTGTAGTCATATCCCCCTGGAATCAGCACCGGTCTGTCATTGGGTAGCGTGGCGACAGTGTTGAGTCCAATTATTACCTTCGTAATAGTGCAAACTAGCCATTATCACTTACACCACATGGATTGAAATACAACAGCAACAGAGAGACACGGACGTCTGTATCGTTTCAGTTCCAAACCAATTATTCCCTTTATTTAACTCAACACATATCCCTGTAACCATCATGTCACTTAGAATTATTTGTCCTTAACCCCGCCCCTTTAATTGTGATTTATCGCTTATCCCTTATCCCTGATTGGCTGCAAGTTTCGTGGAGCGTGGTCACTGCTTCACACTCGTACCCCCCCCCCCCCCGCCCTGCAAACAAACAGGGCGCTGGGCAACCTCGTCCCCAGGGTGTCGAGCAGTGCGCGCCCATCACTACCTGCTCTCTCACCCTGGTATTGGATCATTTGTGCAAGATTTTTGAACACGTATGCAAATGAGGAGCAGTCTGGTGCCTGGATGTGCGTTACTATAGCGTTTGTTTTTGTATACGGTGTCGGGGGTAAAAACGGAGTCAATTCGTCGCAGCGCGCGAGCACGTCGTGAGTTACGAAAACACATTTTTTTTAAAAGCTGTTAAGATCTTATCGAGACAACGTGCAGTATCATACTTCATATTAATATGAACAAATTGGAAAGGAAATTAGTATTTTCGAGAAGGCGTGGACGAATGATCGCTAAAACACGTACTGCACGTTGTGAACAATAACACCAAGTACACAATACAAATCCATTGCTAGCCAATAAGCCAGTTGCGAGTAACCTATACCCTTTGGGATTTACATTTGAAAAACGTCTGGTACAACGACTTGCTCAGAATGCTTGGCACATTTTAACTTTGAATTCTCCAGACCAAAGACACTGTTGCTAATCACAAGATTCGGGGCAAGCTCTTGCATAGTTACGTAAGAGACGCTCAGCACCAATACATCGTTCACAATGGGTGAGAATGGCACAAAGACACCAGACCATGCCGGAGCTGGGGGTTGCTAGCATAAGGCTTGCCCCGAATCACGTGATATAGTAACAGTCTCTTTGGTTGGGAGAATGCTAGGTTAAAACGTGCAAAGCATTGTATTAAGTCAGCGTTCCAGATTTTATTCAAATTTAACTCGCAAATGGCTTATTGCGGTATCGAATCAGGATACAGGAAGAAAGTTTCCTATCCAGGGCTTAAACGTGGTTGGAAATAAAGTAAGCACTGGGGACGAGGTTGGGCGCTGGGATACTCTGATGAGCTTCATAGAATCTTGTGAAGGAAGTGACCTATGACCTTTGTATAAAGCATCTGGCTGCAGCTGTTCAAGACTGCATTTAGACAATGTGCGCAAATGCTATCCGAAAATTCCCATAGAAATGCACACGTTCCATACCGGATGTGATTTCATTATTACGCTTGTCAACGAAAAAAACAAACATCTCTAAATATAAACTGGAATAAAAGAGTAATGAATCAATCTTAACGGCCGTTTCAAACCTTGCAGAGTGACCGTGATGACGCGCATGTCACAGGTCACGCAAAATTCAACCAATCAGAGCGTGAACTAATCAGAGTATCCCAGAGCGTCCTGTTTGCAGGGCAGGGGGTACGCCCTGCAAACAGGGCGCTGGGAAGGGCAGATGAGCTTCACAGAATCTTGTGAAGGAAGGTGGGGTGGTTTTCTGGGTCATTTATCATGACCTATAAAGCATCTGGCTGCAGCTGTAGACCACGGTTGGCCAATGCGCACAAATACTACCCGAACAGTTTGCCATAGAAATGCATACACATACCGGATGTGATTTCTTTTTTGGAGCCTGAGCAACTGACGGGAGTTGAAAATTTACAAAACAGATAAGTTTTACAGATTTTCCTGCATTATTATGCTTTTTTAACCAAATTAGGGCGCTGCATTTTATGAATGGGAATAAGAGAGTGATATGACTCAGTCTTAACGGCCGTTTCAAACATTGCAGGGTCGTGGCCGTGATGACTTGCAGGTCACAGGTCACGCAAAATCTATCCAATCAGAGCGTTAATACGTCAGCCCTTCCCAGCGTCCTGTTTTGCAGGGCGGGGGTACGACCCTCATAGAAAATCTCTGGCAAAATCCTATGTTTTTCCTATTGAAAATACATTTTTAAGCTATTTTCTCCTAGAAAATAGGAACAAAATATATTTTATTTCTATTACATCGAAATGAGTACATGTTGCCACTCTATTTTATTTCTATTTTTAAAACTGCACGCTATTTTATGACTATTTTTGGAGACTTAGACATTTTTGTGTGGTCCACAGTCTATTTTTCGTCTATTTTCTGGACACTTACACATGTTTATGAGAACCATGGACTATTGTTTTGCTATTTTGTAGACATATGCTCAGTACAACACAATCTGAAGGCCAAGCACTTAATTTGCATACCAGATAAACATCATGTGTGTGTGTGGCAAGTTTGAATTTTGTCAGTTGCATTCTGAGAGCCGTTTGTGAAGCACAGCTGCAGTAGAGATGTGTTCAATGGGGGCAAGTATATCTGGGGTTAAAATGCATCCAAATCACTGTAATGGAGTGACAAGTGCACACATGGTTAGTAGATTTTCCAGGACAATTATGAGTATAACATTCTTGTAGTTTTCAAGCTGTATTTTGCTGAAAAAGCACGCACACCCGTAGCATGTTGAACCAAACTGTTTTAATAACTTGATGGTGCATGCATGTATGTGTATGTTAATTGTTTGGACACTGTGTTGTCACAGCATTATTACTGTTCATGTAATAGACATTATGAATTTTCTCAATCATTCCATTCTTATGCAGTCATATGCTTGCTCACTTCATGTACTGTATGTTTGAGGACTGCTAAAGATGCATGTCCACAAGGACATGTGTACTATTAACATGCATGTCCACGTATTATAAAACAGTTGTTTGGACAGACGCCATTTTGTATTTTTTTAAAATAGCATTTTTTTAAATAGCATGCTATTTTTAAAAATTTTACCTCTATTTTACCTTTATTTTTTAAAAAGATATTTTTTCACTGTTCTATTTTTTCGCTATTTTTGGGGGTGTCGAAATACAATGGAAAAAAATAGATTTAAAAAAAATGTATTTTCAATAGGAATAAAAATATATTTTTTCTCTATTTTATTTCGACCTGGGGAGCCTGAGCGAACGGGGACGAGCGAACGAATGATCCATGCTGCTGGCTAGCAGATAGAGGGCGCAACATTATTGAAATCAATATTTACCAACAGAGGGCGCAATACACTTTTTCCAGCGTAACTTGAAAATGGAGCCGGAGTCGGAGAGCGCAGAAATTTTAAACGATGTTGTGACTAGTTTTCACGTCGGTAAATATGCCGACTGTCTATCAATATTGGCAGAAATATCTGCTGCCAGTAAATGCGGAAAGTCAATAGTTGGTCAGTGTCTTCTGGAAAACAACCTGGTCGTCTGCACATACAAGGTTAGGCCCAGGTTGGCATGGTTGGACGACGTCTTCATTGCATACGTTGCAATGCAATTGCATTACCCATAATCCATGTAATCTAGACCCGTATACAACGCCACGTTCACGGGTCAACCCATTAATCATGCCCATTGCGTAATACGACTGACACTACCCCTAGGGGCTAGACCCGTGAACGTGGCGTTGTATATGTTACGCCCCAACTATCGCATCAGTCATTTGTCAGTCCCAACTATAGTTGGGACTGACCAAATTATAGTGCGGCAGTTGGGTCGGCCCAACTATAGTTGGGACTGTGCGATAGTTGGGTTGGCCCAACTATAGTTAGGACTGGAGTTGCATAGTCATGATGGTGCATGCATGCTGGCACCATGTATTCGTCGTGCATGTGTGTTGCATATAGTCCGAGTAACTTGGACCAAACTCATCGCCTTTTTAACATTTGGACATGGTCTGGCGATAGTATTAAGTAATGTCCAGATAGTGCGAGCTGGACAACATCATCCTGTCACTGTCCCAAAAACCAACATTTTCCAACAAAAAACATCAGATTTCACCCTCAAAACGGCCTCAAAATTACTAGATATGCTACCTGAGGTACAAGTAGACATCGATGATTAAGATGGTTGTACTGAAGTTTACTTACAATCCGGAAGAAAAGTGAAATTTCCCGTTCAATTCTGAGAGCTCCCCTCGCGACTCGTGTTAATGTTTGAACGACGCGATTTCTTCTTCATGCCCAGCATACATGTACATTCGATGGTCCCCGTATCTCGAGTGCGATTCCGTTACCGAGTGCGCGCGATGCATCGATTATGATAATAATGTAAACACAGGTGCATTTCGCACTGTAAAAGGGAATCGGAAACCAGCTTGAACTGGTATCCGCCATAAAAGCTGCGCTAGTTCCCAACTCCCTATTATAGTTCGAAATGCACATGTGTTTACAGACGTGATCCAGTCTACTCATTATCATAATCGATGCATTGCGCGCGCTCGGTAACGGAATCGCAATCGGGATACGGGGACCATCGAATGTACGCTGGGCATGAAGAAGAAATCGCGTCGTTCAAACATTAACACGAGTCGGAAATTTAACGTGTTCAAGATGTTTCACTTTTCTTCCGGATCGTAAGTAAACTTCAGTAAAACCATCTTAATCATCGATGTCTACTAAGTTATACCTCAGGTGGCATATCTAGTAATTTGGAGGCCGTTGGAGGGTGAAATCTGATGTTTTTTGTTGGAAAATGTTGGTTTTTGGGACAGTTACAAGATGATGTTGTCCAGCTCGCACTATTATAGCTTGGACCTTACTATCACTAGACCACGTCCAAATGTTAAAAAAGGCGATAAGTTGGGTTCAAGTTACTCGGACTATGTTGCATACAGGGCCGGCCTGCCACGTGGCACTGCCTAATTGGATGAGTTGTCCAGCTGGGTTTTTTTAGTCCAGCAAAATTTTGCAAAATTCAAAGATTGGCGTGGCCGGCCAACTATAGATGGGCCCCACCCATAGCTAATGTCAAAGTGGTCCCAAGTAAAGTCGGACATGTAACAGAGCTGTAGGGAATGTTTTATAGTCGTACATCAATGTAAACTACAGTTGGGACACCGCAAAATAAAAAGATTGGAGTGGCCCAACTATAGATGGGCCCCCTTGATGACTCCCAACTATAGTTGGGCCCCCTTGATGACTCCCAACTATAGTTGGGCCAGCCCAACTATGGAACTACAGTTGGGACCGTCCCAACTATAGTTGGGACCGATACCATAGTTGGGGCGTAACATATACAAGCGAAAGCATTCTATCTTTTGATCCGCTACATATAACCATGTATAATTTGGCCCATAGGTGAATCACTTAACAGGCTTCCTGTTAATTTACGTAAACTAACCGACTCACATGGCAGGATGACCGTAATACCATGTAAAATTCTGCTGAATTCACTTCGAAAGTCTTTGTTCCATTGTGCAAGGTTTGTTTTAAGGATCTTTCAAAAAATGAAGGTTTTTCAAACCTAATGTGCCATATTTGTCTAATCTTTTTAATTTTTCCTTCATCTTCATAATTCTGCCGAAAAAAAAAAATAGGCCTATTCTGCTGATTTTCTGCACAACTCATTTTTGTATGCAAATATTCTGTCAAATGTAGCCGAAATTCGGCTAGAACGGTCACTCCATCTTAGTAACCGCGGATCACAATAGAGTGTTTTTACTACAGACTGAAGCGTGGCTATGTATGTAGCCACATTCACTGGTCTACACTACCCCTAGATCTATGGGTATTACTAGTCCGAGTAACTTGGACCCAACTTATCGCCTTTTTAACATTTGGACATGGCCTGGCGATAGTGGGGTCCAAGATAATGGTTATATGCCGAGCAACACAATTCTGTCATTGACCCAAAAACCCAACATTGCCCAACAAAAACATCAAATTTCACCCTCAAAACGGCCTCCAATGTTAAATGTCCGAATGTTAAAAAGGCGATAAGTTGGGTCCAAGTTACTCGGACTAGGGTATTACTTGTAATACCCATAGTTCTAGGGGTAGACTGACACAACGTTGTACACAACGGAGTCCAACCTGGACTAGGCATTTAAGATGTCATGGTTGTAATTTACCTGGTATAAACTGGTCACACGGCGCAATCACGAACATGGTATGGTAGAGTTTCGGCTATGCTGGTATTTTGTAGCTGGAGAGTTACCCAGCCCTAAATGTTATCATTGGGTTGTCATTAGGGCTGGAGGAAGTTGTTCACCAAAACCAGCAGCATTGGCGTTCAACAACCAACTGGAATCATACAGGGAATCACTACTTGGGAACGATTCTGTGGGGCTTCACTTTTTGTACTGCAATGCACATTTTTTGCTGGGGTTGTCGAATAACTGTGAAGGGGTTTTGAAGGAGCTGCAGAAGGATCTTGTGAATGAAAAAGGTCAGGGAATTGGGAGAGATGCAGATGCGATGTTTGGACGCTTCAATTCGTCGGGCGAATCAGCTGCAGCAAGATACATTAGAACTGCTTGTGACGTCTTAGGACCAAGGGGCGACCAGAAGAATGGTTGCAAGGCAAAGTGGGAGGCATTTTGTTCTCAGACGTTGGGAGAGAAGTCAGATGTATCCAGTTTCCGGATGAATCGCTTCAATAACTTCTTTCAAGGGGCAGCAGGGTTGTTCTTTCATAGGAACCACATCCACGAATTTCTCCATGATTTCTGCGACTCCTTAAACATGAAGCATGAAAGCGTAAAGCTTGACTGCGACAGTGAAGAAGTTCAAAGTCTGATCAGGGCCCTTGTTATTGTCTACTAGGTCATTTCTGGCCCATTTTGGAATCTTTTGCAGAGCAATGTACACTACTTGGATCAATACAAGTATGTCCAAGAGATGTTGAAGAGATTTGAAGAGTGGTCCCAGGACTGCAGCATCTTGTTGACTGATCCGGTCAGTGTTTTTCCTGAGTTTGCCGTTCCCTTCGACAAGGTGAGGAAATGTTTGGTTGATGACACGGTGTCGGGCCATGCATTGACAAAGACTGCACTAGAAACCATAATGATGGGATTCTTCAAAGTCACACGGAAACAGCTTGCTAATTTCTTGCCAGAAGGGGTGTATGGTTCTGCTCCAGAAGATGGTCTCCATGAAAAGATGAGGCATTGCAAACTGACAAACCTTGTTTCGGAGTACGAATTTGGTGATCTTGATTTCAGTCAGTTCAGGCGCAGACATGCTTCTCTGCATTATCATTCTAGTGTGCAGATGGTCAAACGGAATCAGACAATTTCAGGCTGGCTCTCTTCAAAGTCTGACGAGGAACAAGTGAGGTTGCTGGAGGTGGCGAGGAAAAAGAGTTCGCATCTTAAACAAAAACATAGAGAGGCTGAGAGGGAAGTTGTACGGAAGACTGAAGAGCGTTTGAGAGAAACTAACAGGAAGAAGAAAGAAAAGGAAGCACTCCGGCTAGAGCAAAAGAAGAAGCTTGTTGAGGTTGTAAAGCAACATGGTGGTCCCTGCGTCAAACCATGTGATGTTGATGAGGCAGTGAAACATGCAGTCAGTCATAAACAAAAACTTGAGATAATTAAGGATGAAGTCAGGTACTTGAAAAGTGTTCTTGGTGTTGTAGATAAGCGCCTTGTTTTCGGTAAGAAGAGCGTTCAAGAACTGATGTCAGACTTGAAAGAAGTTTTGAAGATGTCTGGCGAATCGACTTCCAGCTCTGAGCATGCCATAGATTCGCTAACTGATGATAATCTTGACTTGGGTAAAGCTGGAAAAAACGGAAACAATCAGGAGACCCAGCCAAACCTAGTAAAAAGCAAAGGTTGTCAGTGTCACATGACAGCGCAGATAATTCATTATCAGAATGTAACACTGAATTTTCATGTAGTTTTCATTCACAAGGAGAGTGGGTAGCAGTCGCATATGAAACTGAGTGGTTTATCGGGAGTGTATTGCAGGTCAAATCATCAGAGGAAGCCGTCATTCAGTTTATGAGCAGAGGCCATCAAAACACATATCGCTGGCCTAGAGTTGATGATGTTGACACAGTTGACAGTAAATTTGTTTTCGCTAATGCTTTTGATGTGTGTACAGCAAATGGCAGAACGTGGTCAGTTGCTGAGAGCGACTATCTGCAGGAGCTTTACACAAATTATTATTCCCTGTACATACTTTGTTGGTCCTCTTCTGGATTTGTAATTTAAGTACACAATATGTGGGAAAAAATGCAAAAGTACACCGTTAAACTTAACTTGTGGCAACTTTTAAATAATCAGCATAAAACATAACGTAAATCATGGTGTGAATTGAAAGTCCCAAAAAGTGAATCACTGTTTATTTTCTTAAGATACCGGTTACAAAGAAAATATAAAATTTAATTAACATTTTCATGATTAATTATGCAGTTAACATGTTTGTAATCTAAACATTGCTCCTTTAAGATCATTCATTTGAAGATTTTTTTCACAGAATATTTGTCAAATTCCAGTTTCTTTGAAACCTGCATATAGACTACATAACTTTGTCAATGTGCCATTTTTGTAAACTTCCCATTGATTGCCATTATCCAAGAGTGCACCTTTAAAGCGATTATCATTTATACATATTATATTGAATATTTTTATAAACCAAATGCCAATTATGTATGTGTTGGAAATAACTATTTGTTTATAAGTTAATTGCGTTAATACTATATCATGAATATATCACAAACTATACGAATGTGTAAAAACCCATTGAGTGCACCTTTAAAGTCAAATATCATATTAATCAAATGGCAGAACAAAGAAACAAAGGACTGTCAGATTTTACCTTCACAATTCTGTCATTGACCCAAAAACCCAACATTGCCCAACAAAAACATCAAATTTCACCCTCAAAACGGCCTCCAATGTTAAATGTCCGAATGTTAAAAAGGCGATAAGTTGGGTCCAAGTTACTCGGACTAGGGTATTACTTGTAATACCCATAGTTCTAGGGGTAGACTGACACAACGTTGTACACAACGGAGTCCAACCTGGACTAGGCATTTAAGATGTCATGGTTATAATTTACCTGGTATAAACTGGTCACACGGCGTAATCACGAACATGGTATGGTAGAGTTTTGGCTATGCTGGTATTTTGTAGCTGGAGAGTTACCCAGTCCTAAATTTTATCATTGGGTTGTCATTAGGGCTGGAGGAAGTTGTTCACCAAAACCAGCAGCATTGGCTGGTCCCCCCCAAAAAATGCGAAAATGTGCAATCATGTTTGTCCCAGTTACACACTAACTTCAACTGAAATTTACCCAATGCTGCTGGTTATAGCACTAATTTTTTTTTTTACGATGTCAAAAAACGAAACTTATAGTGGCAGTTCTCCGTAAGTCGCATGCAATGCGCTTGCAGTTTTGCGGTTTGCATGGAATGCATGTACTTTGTCATGTTTGTTTGCCGTCGTTATCTGATCGATGGCGGCGTGAGACATGGCCTGTTTGATCTGTGCTTGTGCTAACTCCTTATATTCCTACATGTACCTCCATGGTAGGCCTATATGATGCTGCAGTAGTCATAGTCCGAAAATGTGGGACTCTCAAAACTGTTTATGAGAGTCTCAAAACTTAAGGTATCCATATCGTGCAAAAGTTTGTGCTGCATAATAAAACCATGGAGTATGGCTCCATGATAAAACCAGTGTGAGTCAAATTTGCAAGCTTCTTACTCACTACAGTTTCCTCAATGTTCCCCGAAACTTCTGCCTCACAAAGTTGCTGTTGAGAGCATTGCATCACCAAAAATTCAGCTTTTAATTCAAGTTTTACAGAGAGTTATCGAAATCCAAACATGAACATCACGTTGATGTGTACTGCAATGCATTGTGCAAAAAGACTCAACTGTAAAATGTTCATCTTGTACATAAAACAGCGCCCTCTTGTTGTAGTCCAGCGGATATGTGACAAAACATCGATGAATTGTGCACTTTTGCATAAAAGCGTGAAACTTGGCACAGATGTTTATATTCATGCGAGAAAATGTTTTAGATGTGGAGCCATCGCAAATTTACCCTTTTTGGGGCGTGCCACCATTTAAAAAAAGGGGGCGGGACTTGTCGTGCCTGCAGTGAAAATGTTTTTTCCCACTTGTTACAAAAGCAGGAAACTTCACAAAGACATAATTATATAGATTATTAGTGTTTTCCAGATCCGGAGCCACCACAAAAGTATCTTTTTGGGGGCGTGGCAGGCATTAAAAGAAAAGGGGGGGGTTAATTATTATGCCCACTTTGGGAAACATTGTGCCCATATTTCATGAACGAATAAAACGTCCCACAGACGTTAATATTCATGAGAAAAAAAATCCGGATGTGGAGCCATCTCGAACACATCCTTTTAGGGGCGTGGCAACCATATAAGAAAAAAGGTGGGGCGGGGTTTTCATTATGCCCACCCTGGAAATATTGTTCCCACATTCATAGAGAAATGGAACTTTCCACAGACATTGACAATCATGAGAAAAACAATTCCAGATGTGGAGCCATCGCGAACACACCCTTAATCTATATAATTATGTCTTTGTGGAGTTTCCTGCTTTTGTAACAAGTGGGAAGAACCGTTTTCACTGCGGGCACGACAAGTCCCGCCCCCCTTTTTTAAATGGATGCCACGCCCCTAAAAGGGTAAATTTGCGATGGCTCCACATCTAAAACATTTTCTCGCATGAATATAAACATCTGTGCCAACTTTCACGCTTTTATGCACAAGTACAGTGCACCATTTTTTTCACATATCCGCGGGACTATTGATCTGAGTGAATGCAGAATGTTTTAATTTTTTTTAACAGAGGGCGCTATTTTCTTTTGGCCATCGATTAAAAAACAAGTAAGCTGCAACTTGCAAGGCACTTCGTGCATCTACCCAGAAAACTTTGTGAATCGCACAAAGGCTGCATCCGAATCAACTGTCTAGAGCTAGGTCTAGGTCCGCGCCCATTGAAAATACGCTGGGACGCGCTGACAATAGACGTAGCCGTAGCTCTGGAAGCCCGTTTCGGACACGGCCTCACATTTCTAGATCATGGAGAATGACGTTGATAGTTTTTGAACTGCCAAAAAGGTGACATGCTTGCAACTATAGCAATTTGATGTATGTGTTGTGTGGGCATTACATTAGCCGAATGGTGAGTAAAAAACGTCAGTAGTAATTTTGCATGTGTTCATGCACTCACAGTCCCGGTCTGCAGTAGTCATAGACTCATGTGCAAGAAGAAGACAATTCAGATTTTTTTCAAATTTGGTTTGAACTCGGTTATTGGGTTTGAAATTTACAAACTGGATGTTCAAATCCAACCATACAAAAAAATAGGCCTTCCATTGTGCTAAAAACAAAAAACTGGAACACACCCCAATTTGCCCCATGGTCTCTGTTTTTTACCACATTCACTCGCTAGTAGTGGTCTTGTTCATGAATAGCCTGCCCATTCAAATGATCAGAGAGTTCTCAGCCATTTTTGTTCAACATTACAGCTCTGGGGTGTTTTTGTAATGGCCCAGTGGTCATTGAATCCCACACACATGACAAACTTTATACCCAATCATCATGGAGGGTGTTGGCATGATCGAGGCACCTCACTCGTTACTTTTGTTGGCATGACTGAGCTCAGTGGGCACTTCTGGTGAAAAAAACAACTAGGATACTCCGATTTTGAAATCTCTGGTTTCTCCCACCACTAATTATTGCCTTTCAATCAATTTGTCTTATTTATTTGTTTTTCAGGAACAGTTGAATGCAGACGTCAGAATAGGTGTGTCTGAGAGGATTGACAGACTGAGCAAGATATCAGTGACAATGCAAGGTTAATAATCTAGGCTAAAAGTAACAAGCATTAGATTGATCAGATATGGATTCCTTGCATTTTCTAGTGTGATGTCTGCAGAATATGAAGGGGGGGGGGGAGGTGGGTGGGGGGGGGGGGTAGTGTATTACATAAACTTAAGGAAACGGATACTTGGCTTCAATATATTGTCATGCCATGTTTTAGGACATTTATCCCCTTTATGGCAGTTAAGAACAAAAACAAGCTAGAATGTACTTTGTTTTGAAACCCGCAAAACGGTCACTATACACGTATATAAAACAGTGGAGTTGTACGTACATTACAATGTACTACATGTGTACAGGGTGGTAAAAAAAAACCAAGGGAACCTCATACTTCCACTACCTTGAGACTCAAACCACCTGTACCAATTGATGGAAAATCCTCTTAGAAGAATGATACCAAAATTTCTGATTCGGTCAAGTAGTTTTTGCTGCAGAGCCTATTTTGTGAAGGATACTTCTTTCATGTGGGTATCATTAGATAACAATCCCTTTATTCATTAAAATGTAAGTCAAATTCCCGGGCGCGGTTTAGTAATTCATCGGGACAAAAATTACCCCCACCTTGCTTCACAAAATAGGCTCTAGAACATAAAAATTACTGGACCGAATCGGGCGATATATGGTTTCATTTTTCTTCTAAAAAGATTCTCCGTGCATTGGTATACAAATGTATGTGGGTTGAGTCTCAGGGAAGTGGAAATATGAGGTTCCTTTTTTTTTGATAACACTTTATATTCTGACATTCCTGCACCTAATACATGTGAAGCATTGACCATTGCAAAGCAGCATGCTGACATTTTACAAAAGTTTAAACAACAAAACGGTGATCTTGGCCACGCATTAAGAAGTTTCTTACACATACATGTATTTTTATTGGTCTGAGTGAAAATTTTATCACTGATATAGTATACTTTTTTTTCTATCTTTATAGGTTTACCTCCGTCTCTGAAAGCACTTCCCGTTGAGTTGGCCATTTCCTTCAATACATCTGCATTACTCCTTCAACAAGTGAACCACAAAGAACCAGTTTTGAGCAGTTTGAACCAGATTTGTCAGGCCACTGATCCTGTATCGACAGCTTGGAGTTGTATTCAGAAGATTACCATTGCAAACTTGCACAGAGGTTAGAAAGCTTAACCCGCCTAAGCAAACATGCACATTCTGCGCCAAGTTGTCCTTGCAGTCAAAATCAATCAAGTGACTGTTTCCAACCCTAGAATTCCCAGCCCACATGAAGCAGGACTGACTGCCTTGGACTGCTTTTAAAATAACTTGATACAGCTATGCTTTGACTCCAGGTGAGTGATAAAACAGCTGTGACCACAACTTGCCTGCGTTGTCTGTTGACCCAGTTTGACTAGACACAGTGCTTGCTTGACATGTGATCTGACTGCTGGTGACTAGCCTTTGTTAAAAGTATAGCAGGGGAAGTGGAAGTGAATTTTGACTGAGACTGCTTAAATAGCAAGAAGGTTAAAGGTATAGTCCATCATTTGTTATTTGTGCATGTTGTTTGTTTGAAGCAACAAACGTGTTGAACAACTAACCTGAGTAAGTTTCAGCTCAGCTTCAGCTGTGTATTCCAAGAAAAACAGCATTCTAGGATCTTGATTTCAAATCAAAAGTTGCTGAATCATGTTTTGAATTGGGCCTGAATTCAGCGTCCGAGACACATTCTCAATTAGCCGATTGCAGCTATGCAATGTCGGCACTGATCCGACGAATTATAGCAACCGCGCATACGTGTGCGTCGTGCCAATGCTCGCGCGCGCTTCGCTGCAAAACAAAACAAACTACTAATTTAAATTTCCTACGGTGCGTCTTAAGAAGCACCGTTGGAAAGGCCTTCTTTTGTTGATTTCTTCAAAATGACAGCTTTCCAGAAAGAATTATTTCACAGGTAGTTTAGTCCCCTTACTATATCTTTCAACCAAGTTTGTTTTTCAACAAGAATTACGCCAGTTACTTTTTGGATAGCTGCAAATGATGGACTCCAGCTTTAGAGGAAATAACATTTTGAGTACCACCACTTCTTTATGAGGGATATGAAGAGAGGAACTTTTTTGAACACCATGGGGATTTCTGACAGAATTGTCAAATAACCAACTTAATTGTAACATGGCCAAGGAAATGTTCATGTTTTTCCCTTTAATGCACAAATGTCTGTTTTGTGTTTTTTCCTTGGCAGTACTCTGCACAATGGGTACTCCTGAGTCTAGACCAGATATTGAGAGACTTCTTGGAAAGATTACTGGTATCGCTCATTTAGGTAAGTCGTTTGCCACCCTCCCCTCAACTATCCCCCCCCCCCTCCGCCCCATAAACCTCACATTCATATCCAGACTTGTATGACTCGGACTTGGATTCTAATCCGACTCGAGTCCCGTTTTCCACAACTCAGACTGGGACTCGAGTCACAATGACAAATGACTTGGACTTGACCCTGCGGGCTCAGGTTTCGACTCGGACTCGACCTGCGTGACTTGGGACCCGACCAAAATTACCATAATTCACTTATAAGTTTTTTGTTAACTATATAATTATGAATTATTTTCAAGAAGATCCTCTCCTGAACAAGCGATACAGTCTGTGCGGTGCAGAAGAAATACATCTAAGTACGTGTACTATGCATACACAGCGCGTGCGTCTGGCTTGTTTCAGATATATTGATTGGGAAATCAATGTATCGAAACGTGTACCCAGCGTCTACACTGATATTGCGACAATGCAGGTTGATAGTGTCCGGTACCAGATTATCCTTCCAGATACTGGTGCCTGGCCTTATTTGAATTCTTATATAGTGGTGTTCCCTAACATGGTGCATTCAACGTTTCCCCCAACTTTCCTAATGCAGTGTTGCCAAACCTCTTTGTTGACAAACTTCAAATTCATTCAGTTAAACACTGGTACTTTTACCTTGCTGTTGAACCTTTTTTATACAACTTTAGTAGCATGATATTTAGTCCAAAATTCCGAAACAGTGGCGTTTGAAAATTGGGCACAAAATCGGCTGAGTGTTTCCTAACATGGCACACTTGAACAAAACTCAGAAAACCCCACTTTAGTGTTTTTAAAAACATTTCTTTAAAGTTGGACATTTTTAAGAAAACCATTGTTATCTTTCTTCTCATACTGGACTAGAAATTTATCCGAAACTTATTTTTTTTAATATTTGGCGCATTTTTAAAGTGTTCACTGTGCACTTCTTAATAAAATCGGAAAATCATGCCAACATAAATTTCTTTGCCATCTTTGTAATATGGGTATACGTAAACTCAAGATTTATGAATGGGAATTTTAAGAGACCGTTGAAATTTCACTTAACATGAAATTTCAGGTAAAACTTTTTCCTGTAGCCAGGCGATAGAGGCAAAATCAAAGTGCGCCATGTTAGGGACGTCAACAATACATGTTTTTCTAGTTCAATAAATTAGAGAAAAGCTGTGAAAAATGGAATCATTTACGCTGTGAAGTTTTAGGAGTACCTCTAAAATTTAAATTTATTTCCAATATATATTAAAATGTGACTCGTGACTCGGACTCTGATTCGACCTTTGTGACTCTGACTCGAACTTGATCTGCATGACTCGGGAGAGGTGACTCAAACTCAGACTCGATGTTTGCTGACTCTAATACAAGTCTGCACATATCTATGTCAGGCTTCTGTTTATGTTTCGCCCTGTACTATGATTTCCTGACCTATAAATCATCATCTGGTATTTGTACTTGCACATATATATGACTTGGGATGGAATTAAACCCTAAACAAAAAGTAGGGAAAAGTACAGTCCGAGTACAAGTACAGGTACTTCTGAATACTAGTGCCAGTACGAGTTTTTTGTATTCCGATTACTAGTATGAGTACGGTTACTTCTATTTCCGAATACGGCCATACGGCAAATGGTTTATTGTGCGTCATTGGCCCAGGCCCAGTTAGACCGTTATACATACGCACTCATGGCTAGCTGTTACATGTACATGTAAATGTGTTTGTCTGGACGTGCACAGAGGAAACCAGGAAACTTTGATTTCTCCCCAAGCCAATCAACCATTTCATACTGAAAGTACATTGTATCTATAAAATAGGGCCGTCGTAAGTCAAGCTATGCCATTTTTTATGAGTACTGCTATTCGAGTATGAGTACTTTGATGATCGAGTACAATTTTGACATGTCGAGTAAGAGTACTTTGCTGTCCGTGTATGAGTATCGTCATTTCGAGTACGACTGTATCGTCATTTCGAGTACGAGTACTTTGACATTCGAGTACGAGTACTCTAAAAAAAGTACTTGAGTAGAACTGGAGTACGAGTACTGACTACTACCTGTACAACACTGGGCAGTGGAATGTTTTTGAAAGGTGGGGGTGGGGGTGGGCACAGAATATGCATACATGTATCTGTAGTAGGGATCCTAAAGTGGGCAGACAAAGGAAATATTTAAAAAAGTGGAAGGCAAAGCAACTACCCTCATTGCCTCATCTTCTTTTTCTAGCTTTCCTAGTAATCAATTAGATTAATTTTCTTGACATTGTGTTAATATCGACCAATTCCATATATGTATGACCTTTTTCCGACCTTATTAGTCCCCACAGATGTGATCTCGCTGGTAACCCTGCAGTGCTGTCTGCACAGTCTGGGTCACATGATCGTGAGGCAACACCAAGACGCTCTTAGAATCCTAGAAGAGGTCTTAAAGATGAACCCGAGGAAAAACCAAGATGACAACCAAACGGTGAGCTTACATAGTAATGCGTGGGACAGCGTGGTAGTCTACAATCCTGGCCAAATCTCGCTGAGCCCCCAAGCCCTCGGCCCCCGTTCAATGTTGTCTCTCATTGCGCGGTGTGTGCTCCATCAGCTGCAGAGAACAACATTGACCGGGGGAGCGGGGGAGTGGGTGACTGTGGCAGGCTCAGGAAGTGTCCCAATCATTTTGGCCGGGATTGTAGGTCTTGTGATGGACTTGTTATGCTCAAGAAGAACATCACAAGTCCAGTCATGCCAGTCGCAAGGAAATTACGCGTCAATTCACTTGTTTGATCACGAGTAACAGGATAACCAAAGCAAAAGAGTGATTGCCACAGTTCACTTGAATACCTTGAGACCTGACTTAATTGGTACTGGACATCAAAAGTTCATCACAAGTCCATCACAAGTCCATCACAAGTCCATCACAAGTCCATCACAATTCTATCACAAGTTGTGATGGACTTGTGATGTAGTTGTGATGGACTTGTGATAAAGTTTTGATGGCATTGTGACGGACTTGTGATGGACTTGTTTTTACCCCTCAGCCAAGAGGCTCGAGGGGTATTGTCATCGCATAGGGCGTCCGTCCATCCGTCCGTCTGGGCAGCTTAGTTTCCGGATGATAACTTGAGTTAGAAATGTTGTTTGGGGTTGTAAGTTTGGTAGGGGGTTGCCCTTAGGAGCTGCAAGTTGGGATTGGTTTTGGGGTCAAAAGATCAAAGGTCAAGGTCACCATGGTGAGTTAAAGGTAAATGGTTTCCGGATGCTAACTTGAGTTAGAAATGAGAAATCCCTTTGGAAGGGGTTTGCCTTTGGGAGTAGGCAAGTTGGGATTAGGTTTTGGGGTCAAAAGGTCAAAGGTCAAGGTCACCGTGGTGAGTTAAAGGTAAATGGTTTTCGGATGATGACTTGAGTTAGAAATCACATTTTGCTCTCTAACTTTGGTAGGGGGTTGCCCTTAGGAGTAGGCAAGTTGGGAGTGGTTTTGGGGTCAAAAGGTCAAAGGTCACGGTCACCGTGGTGCGTTAAAAGTAAATGGTTTTCGGATGATAATTAACTTGAGTTACAAAATGAGATTTTGCTGTCTAACTTTGGTAGGGGGTTGCTCTTGGGAGTAGGCCAGTTGGGATTGGTTTTGGGGTCAAAAGGTCAAAGGTCATCGTGGTGAGTTAAAGGTAAATGGTTTCCGGATGATGAATTGAGTTAGAAAGCACATTTTGCTGTCTTACTTCGGTAGGGGGTCGCCCTTGGGTACTTGCAAGTTGGGATTGGTTTGGGAGTCAAAAGGTCAAAGGTCAAGGTCACTGTGGTGAGTTAAAGGTGAATTCCGGATGATAACTTGACTCTGGCTGAGGGGTTTCAACAGCAACGCTGTTTTTTTTTGGACTTGTGATGGACTTGTGATTGACTTGCAATTTACTTGTGATGGACTTATGATCCAACACATCTACCTCAACTACAATACCTTGGGAAATACTAGAAGCAAGTTGTGAAAACTCTCAAGATAGTCAAATGAACTGAATTGATACCAAGAACCTTTATGACCCCTATTTCACAGAACTCCTCTTCAGCTTTCCTGATGGATATTTCAATTGGCAGCTTGACAGTGGATCTCAGTTGTAGAGGTAACAGTGAGTAGCGTGCACAGTTGTTCACAAGGTGGCAAGTTTGAGTACCAAACAAAAAATCAGTCACTGTTTTAGCTTCTTGCATGAAAATGCACTCCTTTTGATAAGGACAAGTCTTGGCCCAAGACTGAATTTTTTCCCCCTATTTTTGCAGCCAGTCCAGTGACAAATGTGGCTAAGTTGCTGCGGTGGTGGAGGTCTCTATATCAACAAGATGAGTTTCTAGTCTTGGCAGTTTTGGCAGCGCTACCCAGGATATTCTGAGTGTACATTTTTGTACCTCACGCGCATGCATAAGCTTGAATACAATGCGCGTGAGGTACATTATGTTCGGGATTTGCTGGGTAGTGCTGCCAATATTGCCCAGACTGGATTGTATTCATCTTGTTGATAGTGACAACGCTTGTAATGGACAAGCTGCACACTCAAAACCAAATCCAGTCTAGGAGCGAGGCTAGATTGGGGCGTGTTGTTGGTGCCGTCTTTCAACAGTTCCCCAAAATTGGTAAGAAAAAGTATCAGCGTACATCACATTCAGTGATCACGCTCACAACCCATTGGAGCAAGTTTTATTTTCAAAACTAATAATTTTTTTTTTTTTTTTTTGGCTGTTCTTTGTCAAAGATTCCTTACTCCATGCCAGAGATCTTGCCGGGTTCTTATTGGTTGCTTGTCTCTTTCAAACTGGCCAATGGGATGACTGCTTACATCATATCAACACCAAACTGTCAGATCTACCGGATTCCCTCAAACTCACTAACAAATTCATCGAAGGTAAACATATTTTCTTTTCCATTTCATGATCGTATTGTGAAAACATGGAGATCCTTTTCTATCTGAGAAACTGTACTGAAAGTGTAATAGTTTTAACGCAGTCTTTGAAATAAAAGCAACTTCTTATTACCATAATAAAAAACTTATAAATGCACTTACAGAAAACTCTGATGCTGTGCACATTTTGAACAGATATTAAGCAAATGTTATATAGCATTAACCCTAACCACCCTGAAAACTTCAAAATTCTCTTTGCCAAAGTGGAGGAATTTGGAGGATTGAGGTTACATGGCAAAAGTGTGTTACTGATTTCGTAGGATGCACTGTGTCAAGGTCTTGTGCCAGACCTTGTGTTGGTTTTGCTCAGCCATGCATAAATATAGGCCTGGATTATGCTTAAAATCCTCCGTACTACTCCGGGATGTCACTGACCAAGCCTCAACATATTGACAGTCACTGCCGCAGATTTTTGCACGATTCAGGCAGTGGTCACCCCTCCACAGACCGTACATGTACATGTATTCAAGATATAATGGAGGAATTTGTAGGATTGAGGATATGCTATTTTTCCATGAGGCCAATTGGAGGATTCTGCAGGATTAAGGCTTCATCCTAGCAAAAGTGCCTAAGGAATTAGGGTTATATAGAACAATTTGAAACAGCTGTTAACAATGGGAAGATTTGTAATCCGACTTTTGGTTTGAATTCAATCAAAGACATAATTTCTCTGTTCTGTTTTTTTTTACCAGGATACTGCTTATATCAAACAGGCCATTCCGAATCAGCGATAAAAACCTTGACATCATTGGCTGAAAGCCCTGATACTGATGTCGCATTGAGAGTTAAAACAATCAACCTGATTGGCTGTTGCTTAGCAACCCTGGTAAGTTGTTTTAGCAGTTCACTATTTTTTCAGATGCAGATTCGGAAAACTAACAAATAGCCCATTTTTTCATATGCAGCAGAAAGAAAAATATTTTACTAAGATTTAAATTTGAGTTTCTCTACTGATTCTTTCAGGATCAATATTTCCATCCACAAAATGCCAAATTATCAATAAACACTTCTTCCTGTCAATCTAGCAGTGTGCACCAACCAATAAGATCACGACTTTTGGTCAGGTGACCACGGTAGTTTGGTCAGATTTCGTCACCAGCAGTATGAGAATGTATACAAACCAAAAAGTAGGCAGGGCTTATGGCAGTGGATTCCTGCCAGTCAGTCAGTATACATTGACCAATCAGGTCTCAACTTTTGGTCAGGTGACCATGCTACATGTAGCTTGGCCAAATGTGGTCACAAGCACTGTGAGAAATGTCCACAAACCAAAAGTGGGTTGAAATTATGGCCCATGACAATGGATTACTGCCTGTTAATCAGTATCCATCAGTATACATTAATTGACCAATCAGGTCACTACTTTTGGTTCATGTGACCATGGAAGCTTAGCCAAATGTGACAAGCACTGTGAAAAATGTACACAAATCAAACCTGGGCGGGCTTATGACCCATGGCAATGGATTCCTACCTGTCAATCATACAGTATACATTGACCAATCAGGTCATGACTTGGGCCCAATTTCACGGCGCTGCTAAGCACACAATTTTCTGCTAACTGTGCCTGAGCCGTCTATTTCATGGAGACCGTAAGCATAAGCGCAGCAAAAAGGCACGCTACTTTTAGAGGAAAAAATTTCTTAACTTAATAGTGACGTAACAATAGAAATCTCCATGCATGCGTGACAACACGTCCACGCCGTGAAATAGTGCTCAAGTTTAGCACTTTTTTCTGCTACATGTATGCTAAGCACAACTTTCTTGCTAACTGCTAAGCAGCGCTGTGAAATTGGGCCTGGGTCAGGTGACAAAAGGTAGGAGGGGCTAATGGCCAAATCTGCAACAATTCACAAGAAGCTTCAAGTCTTTCATGTTCTACTTCAGATTTTGCAAGTACTTTGTTTTCATACAAAATGTCTGTTTTCAGAATAAACCTTACACAGCCATACAGAAATTCCAAGAAGCCTTGAAGATGGACTTCAGCTTCCTTTGCCCTCTGTACAATATATCTGTAGTCTTCCGACATCTAGGACTTCAAGATGCTGAGATTGAAGCACTCCATCTTCTCATCAAAGTAAGTCAAAATGATGCCTTTATTCTTTTACTACAGATGTAGTTTCTGTGTAGAATACAAATTGTAACTCGCAGTTGGAGTCAAAACTAATGGCTACATAACATATTAGATTCCACCATGTGTACAAAAACATGAAGTTATAATTTGCTTGCAACATTTAGGAATGTAGAATTGTCACTCTCTGACTCATTATTGATAAGAAATGAAGTCTGCCTACATTTTTAAATGATCTGATATCAGATTTAGTAAGGAGAAGTTAATTTTCCTTTGAGTAATAACCTTTTCTCCTTTAACTCTCTTTTTAAATTTCAATTAGGCTGTCAAAGACAAGAATCCAAGCATGAAACCTCCAGAGGCTGATATTATTCTTGGATCACTCCCTTCAAATGCCCTTAATAACCCAGATGGCGGCTACATCCTAGACGAGCAAAGTCTGAACGTTTTGTTTGTCATGTACACACTGGCGCAAAGATGCTTAGAACTGGGCAGGTGAGCATTGGGACTACATGTTAATATCCCTTGACATTTGTTTTTGTCTAGATACATGAGATATTTAAAGCCGGCCTCCAGTCAACCTACATGTACGATTTGCGAAATAACACAGAATAATCATAAGCATGCTTACGTCACCCACGACGCGAATACGATACACAATCAAATGAGATGATCCGGATGCGCGTATGATGTAACTTCACACAGGTTGACTGCAATCAGGCATGCAACTTTTTCTCGGATCCGCTGATTTCCTCATTTTTTTACTTATGAATGCCATTACAAATTGAAAAATACTGTACAAAGTCCTGCTTTTACTAAATTCCCAGTTGCTTGCCTGTGCAGTTGATTTCTGCCTGTCAGGGATAAGTTCTGTGGCAGCGCAAAAATTGAAATTGTTCAGCTCTTGTTATTGCTGACTGACGCTGATCATCTTAATAGGAAGGTTGCACAAGTGAACGGATACGCTTACACTTACGTTTAGCTATCTGTATCCGTTTTTTACTTACGTGTAGCGAGCGAGATATGCGTGTCGTCTGCCCGTTTAGCGGATAGTGAGTGGCGTATGACGTCATTCGTGCAGACGACCCGCATATCTCGCTCGCTACACGTAAGTAAAAAACGGATACGGATAGCTAAACGTATTTGTAAGCGTATCCGTTCGCTTGCGAAACCTCCCTAGTATTGTCACAGACACACTTGGGTCTAACAATTCAGTGACTGAAATGTTCCCAACGGTCGTAGCTCAGGCAAAGCTTTATCTGTGTATTCACAAGATCAACCTGGGGGCGGCTTAAGAAACCGTTCATATAAATAGATCATGTAAGTGTCCAGGCCGAGAAAAAGATGATTTTTCCAATTCTATTTATATGTGAGATGAATGTAAGTAACCAAAATAGGCTTTTAAATGCATTTGCAGCCATTGTCACTAAAATGGCTCCACAGTGAGGTTTTGGAATTTTGGTTGGAATTGGACTTTTGTTGTCAGTATTCTGTGACTGGATGCATTTTTCCCCTCAAGATTCAATGATGCTGCAAAGAAGTACCATGAACTACTCCGAGTTATTGAGGATGACCTGTCACCTTCAACTAAGGTATGTCGTATTTGTGTAATACAATGTACATGTAGCAGACACAATTTAAGGAATGTTGAAAACGTAAAAAAAATAGTGCAGGCAAAAGTCCACAGAAGTCTGAAGGTACATGTACGTAGTTTTCTAATGTAGAGATTTGTATAGAACGTATAGATTTGTATTCATTTTTAAAATCCTGATTCCTATGGACTTCTTTTTTTCAATTTTTACCTTAGCATCCCATGGACTGCAAGGAGGATTCATCATGTGTTCCTCCCTTACACACAATCTTTCTGGAGGCTGCGCTGTCATTCTACAAAACTAACGACATTGAACAGTCACTCACCATCACTGATAGAGTCATAACTAAAATAGTTCCTACAATAGGAAACACAACCAGAACATCCGATTTAGCGTCACATAGTCGGGATGCTGACGCAGACACTAGAAGGCAAACTGAACGTCATCAAACAGACAATGATGCGTTGCCAGGACCCAGTTTCCAAGGTAGTGGTTCTGGAGGGGATGAGCTAGACCTATCCGTGGCATTGTCTTCATGCAGTAGAGACGAGCCCGGCAATACAAGAAGTAATCAAATGGCTTCTACTCCTGAACTTCCTTCAGATATTCCCTTTAGGTCACCTGATGTGAGTATAAAAGCTGCCAAGGGACATCTCATAGAGGAGACAGAGATTTCTCAAGAATCTGGTGTGAGACTTTTCATCGCAAATGCCCTCTTGTTGAAATCCAGCTGCTTGATCCAGATGAAGAACTGGCCCCAGGCCTTCAGCATTACCAAGGAGTTACTTGAGTATCTATCAGGGGTATCAAGAACCGAGGATCAGTGTGATGAGATTGGATCGCGTTACAGGGAGGCGGAGTGTAAGATGGAGGGGGGAGGTGATGATGAGACACCAAGGAGCAAAAAGAGGAAAACTGAACCAACACATGGTATGTATAATTATGTTGAGTCCTAGCACAGCAAATGAGTTGTTACTCTTTTTTTAATGGAGATTTTAATTTCTCTTTGTTTTGTTTTCGCATGCTTCCCCCACTGTGTCGTAATTTCATCAGAAGTCCATCACAGATCCTCGAGTCCTAAGTCATGAACAGTGACATATGCATTCCTTAGTTTGTTGTCGTTCATCCTCTGATACGTTTCACTGGACTTGTGAATTGACTTATTAACTACCAGACTTTTGATGGTTTCTTATACAGCACTTTTATTCTCTCTTCACATGTGATGCCACACTTGTGATGCCACACTTACAAATTCGCTTCGCGATACAACTACTTCGCAATTCGATGTCACGGTGACTATAATCATGTGGCGACGACTGGTTCCCGCCGCGCTGCGCAGGGGCCAATTTAGAAGACATGATGAAAATGCGGTAACCAGTCCATAGCTATGCGACCGATAGCGCGCTAGTGCAGGCCAGTGTTGTAGGTCTCGAGACTGGTCTCGGTCTCAAGACCGGTCTCGAGACCACTTTTTGCTGGTCTCGGTCTCGGTCTCGGGAGCTGTGGTCTCGGTCTTGGTCTCGGTCTCGGTCCCCTTTGGTCTCGATATTTTGGCTGGTCTCGGGTCGAGACCGGGAATATGTAGCTTTCACAGCTCGATCGATTACTTTGTGTTCACTTCGTTCAGTACCGTTGTTATTTAAAAAATTTGCTAGCCCGTAGATCAAGCTTGTTATCAACCTCGTCCCCAGTGCTTACTTAATTTCCAACCGCGTTTCCAATAGTAAACCCTGGATAGGAAACTTTCTTGCTGTATCCTGATTGGATACCGCAATTGGCTAGTAATGGATTTTTATCGTGTACTTGGTGCTATATATTCACAACGTGCAGTACGTGTTTTCGCGATCATTCGTCCATGCCTTCTCGAAAATACTAATTTCCTTTCCAATTTGCTCATATTAATATGAAATATGATACTGCATGTTGTCTCGATAAGATCGTAACAGTTTGATTTCAAAAATCGTGTTTTCGTAACTCACGCCGTGCTCGCGCTGCTACGAATTGACTCTGTTTTTACCCCAGACACCGCATACAAAAACAAACGCTAATGTGTAACGCATATCCAGGCACCAGACTGTTCCTCATTTGCATACGTGTGCAAAAATCTTGCACATGCAAATGATCCAATACCAGGGTGAGAGAGCATGTAGTGATGGGCGCGTACTGTTCGACACCCTGGGGACGAGGTTGGCTTGTTATATATCGCTGTCGGTTTGGACTCGACTGCACGTTGGAAAGTCCCCAAAGTACATGTAAAACTGCAGCAGTACCAGTTACTGAACGATTTGGAACAAGTTTGGCATTTGTCTGTTGAGTCGGCCACATAAAGCAAAGTATAAACTTGTAACAATTTATGCAATAAGGGTCAACCATTTTCGGGAATTGTGTAGTTTAGCCCATCCCTGTGGGCGTAATCACTTGCATTTTGTATTCTGATAATAAATGAGGTGCTTCAAATTACGGTAGTTATATTTTCGACCCCACACAATGTTCTCTTCAATTGGGGACAGTATTTTGAAGAAAAAGTAAATTTTTCTACCTGATTTTCCAGCCTTGAACTCACACACTCTTACCAGTTACCACTCACTGTTGCCATGAGAGTGTATGATGAGACCCCATTTTCTGGCTGCTCATTTTAAAGTACCCCATTATTCCTCAAAAATTAAAAATCACGTTCAGAAAAAAAATAAAAATCCATATCTGGCACATTCTGGCTACCGCCTCGCAACTTGTGGGTCTACATGTACAAGTCCACATTCTATGACAACAATTTAAAAATTAATTCAACATTTTCTAGCTCCCATTTTTTAAAATCAAGTACACAATTCTTGTTAGAAGTTAAGTCCTATATTATTTTAGGAAAAAAGAGGCACAATGTAAAATTAAAATTGCATCTTTAAATATCCGTTAGAAGTCATAGCTGAAACCAAGGGGGTGACTGTGGAGTTTAGGATCCGAGTTCCTATAACAGATGAAACATCTACCTTTAACTTTTTACTTTTGTCACGATTGGGTGTAGACAACATGTCAAAGCCCATATTTCTTAAGTGTAACTACTGTTTGCTCAAGTAAGGTGTCATGTATCAATTTGTAAACATTGCCACTGGTCAAAATTTGGTCTGTATTCTTTGTGAATAGAAAGGTTACATTTTTCAACTATAATAACGTGTCTTGTTTTTTTAATTTCGACTATTGTTATTTATTATCAGCGGTCTCGGTCTCGGTCTCGGACCATATTGGTCTCGGTCTCGGTCCGCCTTGAAGGGGCTGGCCTCGGTCTCGGTCTTGGTCTCGAATCTTCAGGTCTCAGTCTTGGTCTCGGTCTCGGACTATCCGGTCTCGACTAAAACACTGGTGCAGGCCACTGTCAACTGGTCGGATTCGACATCGTAAAAATGCCAAGAAAACACCGATGGAGAAAGAACATTTTTGCAAGTTAATTTACAGAATTGATCTAGCTTGTCTGTGTATGTGTTTTCTGTGTTCAAGAGTTCATTTTGAGATCGCACTACTCGTATTTGGAGTGATAGGCCTACATGGCGCGGGTTTCCCGAAATTTTTGACCGTAAAAACAGGTCTGTCGGCCCATCATGGTGGGCCACTCGTCACACACGCACGCATCGCACCTCGGAGTTTTGGCCAGCTCCCCGCGTCTTGACTAGCGTTGTGCATATGGTGCGAACGACCTGAATTTTCCATTATTTTTGATATTATCGAACGTAAATATATTGACAATAATTAAAGGTAGGTTTTATTCACTTTTTTGTTGCCTTTTCGTGTATAGCTTTCGTAGTGCAATGGAAATAGTTCAGGCTAAAACGTTGCATATAATTGAATACCCCATTCAATCTGCATAAAAAAAATTGGCAAAAAAAAAAAATATTCCGACCGACCAACCCTATTTTTGAAAGGCATGTAATCGGAAGCAGAACTATTTTTTTTTGGCCTTATCACCTCTCCTCGTTTTTGTTTTTTATTTGCTGCATTCAATTTTTTTTCATATAGAGTGATCGCTATTCGACAATGACACTCAATCAAATGTACAATGATGTAGAAAGAAAACATACATGTATCTGGAGTGTTATAACCTCATTACACCATTGATGGTACATGTATATACTTCAGGAAGTAAGCAAGTCATCAATTTCTCTTTATCTACAGGGACGCAAGGAGGGGAAACAAGAAGGCAACAGCCAATCAGAGACAGCCTACTTGAAGTCAAGGCCAAAGCTTACAACAACAAAGCAATGATTCTGATTGGTCAAAAGAAGACCTCTGAGGCTCTGCACATGCTTGTATTGGGCACACAGTGTAGTCCAGGTAAATATACTCAACAGGAGACTGCTTAAAGTTTCCTCTTCTATATTATTAATCGCTTGGATTGATTGCCTAAAGGCAAGTTCATACATGTACTTCACATGAAGCAAATTTCTTAGGGTAACAGCAAACTTAACAATGAAACATCAGTTATCATGAAATTCACTTCAATTTAGCTTTCTTGTGGATTATGAACCATCCTTTAAGATAATTTGAGTCTGTCTTTGTTTCCATCTGAGTGTGATTCTCTTCTGTTTGACAGTGTGCTTGTGCAATTGTTTTAATATTGAACACTTTCGATCTGGTTGTGCCTGAGGAACCTTTACATGCCTTTGGCTTGACCACGCTGTAGCTGCATGCCTCGCAATTCAATTCTGCAGGGAATTTATTCTGTATCAGTGAAGACAAATGTACATGAAGTGATGTCACTTCAGTCTTCGGGAAATAACAAATGTTCAAAATATATACATTACTAAATAACTAAAATTAATCAGTGAGATTAAAGCAAGAGGAATTTGAATCACTTTCAGTTCATGAAATAATAAGGATTCATTCAAATAATTAAACAATAGTTACGTTTTCCTGCCGAAACCGTCACGGGGTCGGCCATATTGGATTTCAAAGTTTCAAGTATAAAACTTAGTTAAAAATACGATTAAATAAGGAAAAAAGGAAATACAAACAGAAATTGGTTGTCAAGGAATTGTAAAAGGTCATTGATTTGAAGATTAGGAACGAAAATACAAATGTAAATAGATGGTAATAATTACCCGTATCAGTGAAGCCAAATGTACATGAAGTGATGTTACTTCAGTCTTTGGGAAATAACAAATGAGCTAGTGCCCGATGTCAGACATTGGGGGCGCTAGGTTCATTTGAATTTACATGTTAATTAGGTTGATCCAAAAAAATAGCGGGTGTCTTTTTATAACCGTCACAATGATCTGTATTATTATAATTTGACATAGATGACAGTGATGTCCTGTACAACTACATCTTATTACTAAGCAAGATGGGACGTCCAGGAGAAGCAAGAAAGATGACGAAAAAACTGCTGGTATTAGAGACTAGTCTGAAGATGTCACCGTTGTTACAATACCTTTCATGAAATCAAAAAAGATCTTAAAAAAAGGGCTTGTGTTGGAGGTTAGTGACACAGTTTTGTTGGCAAGAATTATGCTTTTCTTTAAAGAAATGAATTATGCTAGGTACTCCTAGATTTGTTTTAAACACTTTCTTTAGGTACTCCTCTGTGCATATAATAATAATGATAATAATAATAAACCACTCTTGTAAAGCGCATTCCGTCAATAAGACCCTAGCCTTGGTCAAGTCTCTCGCCGTATGGGTACGCAGTAATCAATCAGCGGCATATCCTCAGCCTCGCGCGCTATGCAGTGTATGTAAAAATACAGTGGGAACAGCGACCTCATGCGGCCATTAGTTTATGCAAATCAGTTTGACCCATTCGAGAACCTTGGATCAGTTGTTGGTGAAAGCTTATGTTTTTCTTTATTTTGCGCTGGATTTCTAGCGCACAACCTTGTATACGAATACCATAGACATATAATAAAGCCCAGATATGACATATCTGCTTTTAAGTTCTGTGAGCAAAACGGGCTGCGTCACGCGCGCGGCAAGGTGCGATGTGCAAATTATCATGTGGCTTCGATTTACGCGGATACTTTATACGTACGCATACCACAGTTGTTTTTTTCCCACACGCGTACAGAACCCAAAATTTTAATAACGCGTGCAGTGTGACCGGTCCCATCCATGGGCGTTCGCGTAATTTACATATTCTATACGCTTAGCATTATGCTCACAGCCGCAATAGCAAATGTCGTGTCTAGGTTTTATTATATGTCTATTGCGAATACAGATAAGTGTAGGAGGGGCTAATACATGTATATGTGGAGTGTCTAATCACACCTTGGTAAATCCTGACGGACGTGACAGAAACCACATTTTTTTGTGTACGTTGGTGCCATGTGCAGAGACACACAACGTGTATGCATTATGTACAGTGCAGTGCCACGTCCCACCGCTATGCAAGCTTCCACCCAGCATTCGACCAATAAGAAAACGACATTTAAGGTCAGCTTAGGCTAGTACTACTAGTAGTAGCATAATGAGAACAACCCCCAAAACCTCACATGGACGACTGAACCAAGGCTCTCGATCGGTTCCAACTGATTTGCATAAAATAATGGCCGCATAAGGTCGCTGCTCGCACTGTATATTTTACATGCACTGCATAGCGTGCGAGGATATGCCGCCAATAAACGACGAGAGACTTGACCAAGGCTAATAAGACCCCAAATGCGCTGAACAGGCATAATAAAATACAGATGTTCAATTATAGTAAATCTTTTAACTACAATTAAACAAATTATATACAAAAAACCACAGCATATAAAAATTAAAAAAAAAAACCACAAATTGATGATTGGCAGGAGAAATGTTCAAAGTCAAAAGATAAGCAGATAGGTAAGGTTTTTAGTAGAGTCTTGAACAGATCCAGTGATGTTGCATTTCCGATAGTGTTGGAAGCCGGTTCCAGAGTTCGGGAGCGGTGAATGATTGCTGGCCGTATGTAACTGATCATCAAACTTTTAGAGACCATTTGCCAAATATTTGACCTCAGAGCAGTCTTTCATGCCAAGAAGAATTAAATATATGAATGGCTTTAGTTTTTAAGTTCATCCACTCAATGGAATAATAACTGGGATAAAACTAGATTAATATTGTCCTCTGGTCCATATTTATACATTCACAAAATATGTAAAATAACATATTGACAAGTGGTTGATTGCAAACAGAAAGCAACCAGGCGAGCATTTTCTGAAATTAATTCAAATTTGACCATTATCTGTCCATGCTGCAAATTTTTTTACAATTTATTTCTCATGAAGAAATTTCTGATAATTTCTCAAAATCCACAAATATTATTAATTCAACATCTTGTTAGCTCTCATTGCAAATATTCACAGCTGATCTGTACTAAAACTATACCAAACTAATTCAAAGGTCATGTCCCCAAAAATTCAATATTTTAAGTGACTCTGCAAATAAACCCAATATTGGATATATTTAATACTTTCCATTGGTCTTGTAATTTTGAACAAGTTGTAATTTACTTAACCTCCTGATGTTCTGATATGATATCTTCGTAAGGCCTTTCCACATAGTCCTCGTCAACATCAAGGGAATGATCTCCCACGCTCGTCATCACAAGACGTCTGCCTCTGCCTTCCCTGTCCAGTGACTCGTGTCGACAAAACCAGCAGCAGGCTTTAGCTATGCATGTTGCCATACTACCACAGCACCCAGAGCGCCACAGTGACTTCATCACCATCCAGAGAAGACTTACTGTATAAAAGAAAACCCCAAATGGATTTGAATATATAGCCCCGTCCCAGCTGTCAATCAAATAGTGCTCAACTGACCAATTAGATTATGACTCTTGGTCAGTTTCTTTGTCAAATTGGGTCTCAAGCACCGTGCAAAATGTACCAATGAACTGTCTACACAACAATCAAGATAATTGATTTAGTAAATGCCTACCTATGACAAACACAATGATGCTGAAGTTCATCAGAACTAGGATAGCCGCAAGGACTTCGGTTCTCCCTGTGCTACCTCCAGTTCGAGACAAGAGCAAGGAAGCTGCCAGGAGATTCAGGAAGATGGTTGCTAGGGAACACATCTGTAGACGGTTATCGGTGGCATCTTTCATTGGTCTCACATATGCATGAAGGAGCAGGAACCCAACAGATATGGTGATGGTTGCAAACATGGTGAAGTGATCATCTGGGCCGTACAGCAACACAAACAGCGTTTGAATTATCTTGCGAGAAAGCTCAACAACTTCCCAGTACCAGAACTCTGCTTTGTAGTTTCCAGTGAGGAAACTTATCCAGCTGATCTCCACCTGACTTTGCTGTTTGGTATTTAGGAGGTTGGTGCCTGATTGATTGAGTGTGGAATCATCATTTCTTTGTGGCATAGTTGGATCATTGATGCTGCAGTAACTTGGATTATCTGCTGACGATTCAACCAAAGGCTGCTCCTGCGATTTCTTTCTCTTGTCTTGTCTGTTGCTTCTCCACAGAAGTATTAACAGCAAGGACGGAAAGCCAACAACATAGCAGAGAGAAGCCTCGGCAGCGTGGTTGAAATGAACATGCTGCTCATCTTGACAGTCGATAGAGTAATCGGATCGAAGTCTCGTAGTACTGTAGGTCTCGTTCTCATCTAGATAGAACAGGTCGCAGCCGGAAGGCAAGAGGGTGAAGATAACACCGGACAAGCCAGGATATGACACAAAGAGAAGCATGACAACAAACAGGTAACATTTCTGCCTTGTAGTTGACAATACCTTGACATGCTCTTCAACAGTGCTTTTTTTGACTGCAAAGTAGCACTTAGAGACCCAATAGAAACATATTGCTGCCAACACAACGAACGCAACTAAGCTCATCCCAAACAAATACTCAATGTACACATTGTGGTAGGTGAAGTCTGGAAAGTAGCAGCGGGGACTGATGACCAGTTGGACAATATTCATCTCCAGTAGTCTAAAAAATGACCCAAACTTGGTCAGAATATTCGGCCAGGGAATCTCGTCAAGTGCAGAAAATATTTCGCCCATCACCTGGTAGAAACCCAGCAAGATTTTTCCCCGAGCAAAGATCACATCAACGGCTGATCGTCCCCTTCTCCGGTTTCTCCGCACATCCCAAGCGATGACGAGTATTACCACTGCCAACACGACCAACAACAGAACGACTTCAAGTAAGAACCACCACCACTTCGGACACACATTACAACTATCAAACCAGGCGTAGTACCCCACACTGCATTCAGAGCAAAGCCAACCTTCATAACCAACCTCACAAGTGACATTGATACCATCACCTTCATTCAAGCAGGACTCCTTACGTGGGCACGGATGTACCTTAGGCAACACTCCCCTAAAATGCTGCGTGCTACTATTGTAAGAATCACTTCTGTTCCTAATGTTGACAACGAAATGTTGATAAGCTTCGTAGTTGTCGTTTGAACCCCAGTCCCAAGTCCACCAGAATCCAGGTAAGAGGTGTTGATACTCCTCTGAACAGTTGAGACCTTCGTCTGGGCAAGGATAACACTCATCAAAGCGATCTTTACGGTAGTAATTATCACGACAAAAGCATGCGCGGAACCCTGCATGGAGACTTTTATTGGTACCTGTAGGACACACAGTGCAATCTGCAGGGCTGATACCAGGGTGAGCAGCTGGGGTGACGTAAGTTCCATTGTTGCATTTTTGACACTTGATGGGCTGTGATCTGTCTCCTACTTGTCCAGTCTTGGTTTGGTAAAAGCCCCCTGCGATTCAAAGATAATACATGTAATTCCATTACAAGTGATCACCAAAAGCCCCTCACTGCCATTCGACACTTTTCTTCGACTTCATTTGTGGCTTTCAAGTTTCAACAAAGTTCTTGTCATTCAAACCTTTTACTTTCTCAATATACTGAGTATTGCTGGTGCTTCCATTAGTGGGGAGAAATCCTCCTAATGTTAGTACACCACTTCAAAATAAAATCCGTGCTTCCTTAAAATCAGAAAACTTTCTAGATCGTTAGGTTAACGCTAACACGCATGTCACGTACCCATTGGTGGAAGAAACAGTGAGTGCACGTAAACAACCTGCAAACAGATAACTTTTGCAATGACATGAACATTTAAGAGACGGTGATTGTTTCAAATTTCCTTCAAAAACACAAATCCTTTAATACATAGATGACTGCACTTTTAATACCAGGTGGGCATGCTGTACACATGACGTTCCAGTGATCATAATAATATCCTTGGGCACAGGGCACACATCGCCACAAATCAACTTTGAAGTCGGGTCTTGAACAGGAGAATCCAGAGCTAAGGAAGCGACGTGCCATTTCCCACGATACAAGTATCGGTAGGGCGAACCCATCACCAACCTGTTCACTGAAATTGGAAAGTACAAAAGTTAACTCTGGGTCTATGTATTATTTTACGGCACCCTGTGCTAATGCACCAGAGGTCAAGTCTTTGGGGTCCCTTAGGAACACATTTTATGCAACTTTCTACACCTAAATGTATGCAAACTATTTGACACCCTATTTTGGGTTAATGTTGTTGAAAAATGCGCTTCTTTAAAAATTAAATGATTTCCATGCTTTTCCTGAAAACTAGTGGTGCTGTTGTTGTATTGTCATTTTGGGAAGATCACTGTTCAGATTAGGGGTTTCTGTTCAAGCTGTGAACCAAGTATGTAAGAAGTAAAATCAGTCACGAGTCAATGTGGCCCATCAGGCCGGCGTTTATCTCCCAATTAATGGCCCAATTAACACACTTTTAACCGTTAATTAGAATTTTGAGCACGAGAGCAGCTTAAGAACAACTTAAGAATGGATATTCCCGTGCATTTTGTGCTTAAGAACGAGATAAAGTTCAATAATTAGCCGCCCGCTAAGGAATTAATTTGTATGTGTTTAATTAGAATGTTGAGCACAACGATCATTTCAACACCAAACGGTAGTGTATGGATGGGTAAGCGTTTGCAGAATTTCAACTATTACGAATACAATATCTCGTGTAAAATCTGCTTAAGAACGGCTTTATTTACCGCTAATTACGATTGTACAGTACGGAGGCCCATTTTGTGCACGGCTTAAAAAGTGGAAACTGAAGTGTTATCGCGAAATAACGCAATACACTTGCTAAATATCGTAACTCTTTTGTTAAATAACGCGATATCATTGAGACATTCGTATTGGATTGCAAAACAACCCCTCCCCAGAATCGCGAAATGACGTGGCATGTATTTAAAAAATAAAGCAACATTAACACTGACAATATACTGTAAAATAACAGAATATTGCACTTATGCGAATTATAACGCATTAATTGTGAATGAATGCATACTTTTTAAAAAACAAAATCACCCAGCGCAGTTTGGCCCTCATTGAATTGAGCAAATCGTAAATTTGGTTCCCGGGGCCTGCCAATCATATACTGCTATTGTGTTGTCTTTCCCCGTAGCGCTTTGAATGGTAATAATTATTTTTGATTGGAAGGGGTGTGAGGGTGCTGAAAATGAAGACTTTTTGGACCCAAGTTGTAAGGATTTTGGTCATCAAAATGTTGTGGACATTCAATTTAGAGGAAATGGCAAATTCCCAGTCCCCCCATGTGCCCCCTACCGAGAATTCACAATTTGCTGCTTGCCAAGGAAGTGTCTTTTTGTTGTGAGTTATTAAAACGAAGAGGGATACAGATGACAATCCCTTTAATAGCTTTCCTTAACCGCACAGCTTTATCAATTGTGCATACATTAATACGAAAAAAAGAGTGCCCTGTAGCGTAAAAAGAGGTCCAGCCCATCCACCTGCTTTCAAATTTGCACCACCTGTGGTGGCCTGGAAATGGAGGGGAAATGATGTTGGTCTGCCCTTTGTGCCCCCCTCATAAAATGCCGATGTCCCCCTACCCCCCCCCCCCCCCCCCCCCGGCCACTGAAATGATTCTGGCTATGCCACTGCTACATACCTTACAAACAGTATCGGGCCCGTTCCCTGATCACAGTCGGAGGAGGGGGGGGGGGGGCTTCAAATCCGAAAGTGGAACTTTTATATGTGGGAAGCCAATACGACGCGGAATCGGCTTGCTGAAGGGCCTCACAAAAAAATGGATTATAAATGCCCTAACTCAGAAGGAAACCTGTTAGAAATTGCATCTCACAGTGTATTGTAGCAGTTCTGATTGATTATGTACAAATGTATATGCCTAATTAGTACTTTTTTGCGTCAATCATAATAGCTTAATGCGCTATTTTAAACGAATAATTATACGCATAGGTTTTCCCCTTCAATTTCACCCACTAAATAGTACACATTCATGTATAACCGATCCATTCAAGTTTATTTCTATCAAAATCAAAGGATGTCTTGAACCAAGAATCACTCTTGGAACCATTATACTTATATGTAGTGATCTAATACAATATGAAATACTGTTGTTTTTTTTTTATAGAAACTAACCGCCTTGGTAAAATTTGGTTAGAAAAGT